ACCCTTTTCTCTGGAGTCAGTGGGGTCTTTCCTCACTCCATCTTACACAAACCTGAGCTGGAAGCTCAACTGGTTTTGTTCCCTGTTTGAAATATTGTGATCTCCCTCCCTTGAAAGAAAAACCAAGAACCAGAGGAGTAGACTGACTGAAGATACAACTCCTGGCTTTCTGAAGCTATGGACTTGGATTGGATTGCTGGGGGTTTGTAGAGAAAGGTGACAAATTTCAGTACCTCTGGCATGCTGTCCCAGGAAACTAGGGCTCCCACTAACTTATGAGGTTTTTAAACACATTGAAAATGACATGACATTAAAATAAATTTGGATTTGCTCATAATGATGTGCTTTGTATGCTGCTCTTATTTGATGGAGATGGGGAGAATGAATGTCAGTTGAAGTAGTATTAGAACTGTTCCTCCACAGTGCCATGCTCTGCCTTCCCAAAACGAGCAATGTCTTGACTTGCAGAAGACACAAATCCTAGAATCTTTGATGACATAGTAAGTTATCTGCTGGAGTTGGGTGATGTAATTTTCTAAGTAGAAACAGTCCTCACTGCTAAGATTTGTTTGGGGCTAGGACACTTAATGTGTACTGCAAAAACAGCACTGCAAGTGTTTATCTTGAATTCAGGAAGCCAGGAAGAATGTCTGGTACACTAGTTTTCAGGGCCAGACTGAGGTCAGATGGGTAATTAGTTTATCTTAGTGCATGTCAGGCATTGCTAAACTAGAGATACTACAAGTGAACAGAACTGAACACAGGACAAATGTCTAATGACGTATATCCACCATTAAAATAGTGGTTTCAGTGCCCTAAAAATCCTCTGTGTTTTGCCTGTTCATCCCTCTCTCCTTGCTTACACATTTGTCCAAAGGCAAAGAATGTACAATGCCAAGAGTGAACTGTAGTGTAAACTAAACTATGGATTTGGGGTGATAATGGTATATCAACGTAGGTTCAATTGTTAACAAATGTACCACTCTGGCAGGGTGGAGGGATGTTTATAAAGGGGGAGGCTATATGTGTGGGAAATGTCTAACCTTCCTCAATTTTGCTGTGAACCTAAAACTTCTAAAAAAGTTAAGTCTATTTAAAAAAAAAAAAAAAAACGGTCAAGTGCTCATGCCTGTAATTCCAGCACTTTGGGAGGCCGAGGCAGGCAGATCACCTGCGGTCAGGAGATCAAGACCAGCCTCGCCAACATGGTGAAACCCCATCTCTACTAAAAATACAAAAAGCCGGGTTTAGTGGCAGGCGTCTGTAATCCCAGCTACTTGGGAGGCTGAGGCAGGAGAATCGCTTGAACCCAGGAGGCGGAGGTTGCAGTGAGCCAAGATCGCGCCACTGCACTCCAGCCTGGGTGACAAGAGTGAAACTCCGTATCAAAAACAAAACAGAATTTCCCTAAAGAGCTTATAGACGGCTGGGCACGGTGGCTCAAGCCTGTAATCCCAGCACTTTGGGAGGCCGAGACGGGTGGATCACGAAGTCAGGAGATCGAGACCATCCTGGCGAACACAGTGAAACCCCATCTCTACTAAAACTACAAAAAACTAGTCGGGCAAGGTGGCGGCGCCTATAGTCCCAGCTACTCGGGAGGCTGAGGCAGGAGAATGGCGTAAACCCGGGAGGCGGAGCTTGCAGTGAGCTGAGATTCGGCCACTGCACACCAGCCTGGGCGACAGAGCGAGACTCCGTCTCAAAAAAAAAAAAAAAAAAAAAAGAGCTTATAGACCAGTTGGCAATCATCAGTTGAAATCTTGGTGGAATTGATACAAAATAATTCTGATAGGATTTTTTTTGTTTCAAAAAACTTGTCATATATGTTTGGGTGGTGACAATACTAGAACTACTTAGAAGGAACCTAATTTTAAAAACGTTTTTCAGGGATTGAAAGTGAAATGTTATAGAATATAATAAAGGGAAACCACAAAAAAAGAGGGACTGTAACAATCACATACAAAATGTTACAGTATTTTGAACTATAAGATGAAGTCTCTAGGGAAAGGGTTCTTTTTCATCCCCCATTAACTCAAAACTTTCCTGTAGCCAAATAGGGGATCTGGTTGTTTTTCAGTGCTTCTCACCTGAGCATGCAATCAAAGTGGGAAGTTCTTTATCTTAACACCAAATGTCATACTTTCCCTAGATTTGGCTAATTTTCTCCCTATGTCCATTGGTTCGCTCTTCACCCCTAGATAATCACTGCATAGGTCACTGCAGCCTCGACTTCCTGGGCTCGAGATTCCCCCACCTCAGCCTCCCAAAGTGCTGGGATGATCGCGCCCGGCCCGCTGACTTATTTTCTGAACAAATGATACATTGTAGCCAGGAATCTCTAGTGATATTTTGCTTCAGGCTTCGTGAGGAAAGACCATAGTCAGCTATTTTATTCTTGAAGTTTAGGAAAAAGAATTGCTCTATCTTAAACAGTGAAAGGATATTTTTTGAAGTATGGCAGCTTTCCCGAATCCCCACTTTATATCTTCCTATGTTCTGAAATCTTAGGACCTTCGATGGTTCCGGAATCGAATCACCCTGAAGCAATTTATTTTAGAAAATAAAGCAAACCTGCTGGGCGTGGTGGCGCATGCCTTTAATCCCAGCACTTTGGGAGGCCGAGGCGAGCGGATCGCTTGAGCTCAGGAGTTCGAGGCCGGCCTGGGCAACACGGCGAAACCTCGTCTCTATTAAAATACAAAAATTAGCCAAGTGGCGCGCGCCTGTTGTCCCAGCTGCTCGGGAGGCTGAGGCGGGAGAATCGCTTGAACTCAGGAGGCGGAAATTGCGATGAGCCGAGATCCCGTCACTGCACTCCAGCCTGGGTGACACAGTGAGATCCTGTCTCAAAAAAAAAAAAAGAAAAGAAAAGAAAAGAAGGCAAACCAGTAAAACAAGAATTTCTGTACAGTTCGCGCCTATCCATAGCAAAATGGAGGACTTCTCCAGGGAACTGCAACTCCCAAGAAGCAATGCGAGGGAAGGTGGCAGTTACTATTTTTTCCCCGTGGGCACCTCTCGATCCAATATGGGAAATAGGTGCTAACGTTTAACACAGCGTCCTCATACTAAATCTGGGGGGGAATTGGTAACTCGAAAACCAAATACTCAGTTTTCGGAGAGAACTAACTCAACCTACTCCTCCTCAATAGGGTCCGAAAACCATTGTTACGCCCATTGGGTAACCCCGCCCCTGGGGAAAAGGGGTGGAAAGCGGAAGTGACGACACCCGGCGCTCCATTAAATAGCCGTAGACGGAACCTCGGCTTTCTCTCGGCCTTAGCGCCATTTTTCTGGGTGAGTGTGTTTGCTTCCTGTGATCGGATTCCGCGTACAATCCGTAGACATCTGACCTCGACACTTACCATCATCACACCAAACTAACTGTAGCCTTTCTCTCTTTCCCTGTAGAAACCTCTGCGCCATGAGAGCCAAGGTGAGCGGTTCCTGGTAGTAAGCTTGGGAGGTAGGAGTTGGCGAGTAGTAGGGGGAGACTAAGGCAAGTCCGCCATACCTCCTGAACTACTGGGTTTCAAGGGTACCAAGAGCTGGTGGGAGAGGAAAAGTAGTTTGTAAGAGAGCTAGCGGTTAAGTGCTATGGGTAGAGAGGGTGGGAATTAGAAAAGGGTGGAATTCTGATTTTATGTTGCGAGGGTGTCCAAGTTACTGATGTAGTTGCTACGACCAATCTCATACTTGGTTAAGAATCTGCCCGGTTCTAAAGAGTGCATTTCATATCCCTCCTAAGCCTACTAATAAGCTTTATCTCTCTTTTTTTTAAAAAAATTATCTGCTGCTTGTGAACGGTTGCTAGTGGAGGAAGAAGCGAATGCGCAGGTATGTTGGAGACTTTGCCAGCCCAGGAGGAGGGAAGTTCCTTGGACAAAACTTAGCAGAAACATTTGGTTTGGAAATCTTAAAAGATCTTCAGGAGAAAAATGTTTGAGTATTTTCTTCCTAGAGCAAAGGATAGAACAGAGGACGATAGAACCGTAGTGCTTGTTCATTTTACCACCTCATGTTATGTGCACGTTTGATTTAATGTAGGAGGGAAAGAACTCTGGTTTGAGAATAGGTGTATTCCATTCCTGTGTGTGCTTTTCAGGCTGAAGCGCAAAAGAAGAAAGATGAGGCAGAGGTCCAAGTAAACCGCTAGCTTGTTGCATCGTGGAGGCCACAGGAGCAGAAACATGGAATGCCAGGCGCTGGGGATGCTGGTACAAGTTGTGGGACTGCATGCTACTGTCTAGAGCTTGTCTCAATGGATCTAGAACTTCATCGCCCTCTGATCGCCGATCACTTCTGAGACCCACCTTGCTCATAAACAAAACTGCCCATGTTGGTCCTCTGCCCTGGACTTGTGACATTCTGGACTATTTCTGTGTTTATTTGTGGCCGAGTGTAACAACCCTAAAATAAATCACCTCTTCCGCTCTTTTAGCTGAAGAATTAAATCGTCTTGTCTATTATGTTTTTTATGGTTCCATCGGGTGGGGGTTTTCTATCATTACAGTTTGCCCTGTCACTGCCTGTGCTATAGAGGATATCAAAGGCAACAGCCCGGGTTATGTGGTGTGGTTTGCATGGAGCTGGATGGGATATGATGTATCTCTGGAGGCAGGTTTTAGATTTCGCGGGTTATTTGGGGCCAATGCTGGTACCGCCCCTACCTTCCAGGAGGCCTCCCTTGACGACTACTGCTTAGTAGACTACATCTCGCCTTTGGGTTAGGTTGCCATGGTGACACGCAAAGCGTGGTGGGAACTTCCTGCGGCATGTCGCACGCCTACTTTGTACACCATAGAGTATGGTTCCGGGTCTGGTGGCTAGAGCGTCACTTCTTCCGCAGGAAGCGGAAGAGCGATCGGGTGGGCGGCTCTTTGTCGAAGCTAGAGGACCGGCAGGCGGCAGCAGCAACTACGGCGGCGGCGGCAGGTGAGGGAGGCGGGAGACTTAGGTGGAGGCCGCGCCCGGAGGGGAGGAGTCGGGGCCGGCCCAGCGACTGGGCTCGGCTGGGCCACACAAGGCCCCCCAGAACCGAGCTGGCTCGTCCTCACACCCCAGCGCAGTGCCCCTTTTCTGACTGACCCCGCATCGCGAGCAAACGCCAGCTTCGTGACGTCACAACCCTGCCCATCCCCTCAGCTTGATGACACCTGGAGCCCCAGCTCCCCGCTTCACTTCGCGCGCCCTTAGTGTCCCTTTCACGTAGCCCATGGCTGAGCGCCAGCGGCACTGCACGGAACCTGCCAAGCTAGAAGACTTGCTGCGGGAAAACTCCTAGGACTTTTTTCGCAAACTCTAGGGTGTTGGGAAGCGTCACAATCACTGCCTCCAAGTCTAATCGGCCATCCCACTGCACTGTCAGGCGCTGCCCTTTTAAGGTTCCTCACTAGCCATTACTCCAATCCTTAGCCGGGCTCTGACCCTCACATCCTCTTTCATCTTGATGCAGGGCGTCCCGCACCCTTTGTTCACTCAGAGCTGGTTTTCCAACCCATGCTCCCAGTCCTTCCGAATTAGTTTTATCTCTTACTCTTCTTACTGGCCACTTCTCCCTTGGACAGGTGAAGTTCAGTTTGAACCCTGAGAAAATCCTGACGTTCCCTAAGCTTTGCCGTTTTGTCAGATTTCTTTCTTGTGACAACCACCCCATAGTCCTCCACTCTTACCCCTCCTTCCACCCAAGTCTCTGTTTTTTTCCTGCTCAGAACCCAGCAGTGATGTGGAGGTGGAGACCCACAGGAGCCCCGGACTTCACCTGAGCTACCTCAGGTATCAATTCTGGGAGAGTTGGGTGGGGAGGAGCATCATATCTAATTATCTGCTGCTGGTGCGACTTGCAACGTGAGCCAGGTTTGGATAGATGGCATTTGTACTTCACCTGGTCATTCCCTTTTACTAAAAGTTTGTATTTTTTACCACTTCTTTCCTTGATTGCTTCTATTATTCTGGGACCAACTCCCTTTAGAGGAGGAGGACCCTCTTACAGATTCTCATGTAACTGTGGTCTCTGGTTTGGTTCGTTCATTTTAGGGAGACCTAAAGGCAAAGTCACAGCAGTGGGATGGGGTAGGTCAAGGCCAAAGTAATCAGGAAAGATTCCCTTATGCTCAAAGGGAACAATGTGAAGTTTTCCTATTTCAGCGGCAGAGGGAGCCTGAACACCGCATAGGAAAGGCTTGGGAGGTCAGACACGTGGTAGCAGGGACTCCAGGTCTTACTAGGGGTGGAGAGAGGGGAGGACTAGAACCAGGGCAGTGGACTGACATTCCAAAGCTCTCTTGGGAAATAGGAGACTTAAAAAGCTTTTATGGAGTCTATAAATAAAGAGGATCTTTATGGGTTGAGGAATGGTGTGGCTGGATGTCAGTGGGATCTTCACAGAGGGGAGTAGGAAGGGGGTGGAGAATGGGGAAAGGTCACTTGTTCCTGTGAAATTAACTCCTTCCCACCTTGATCTTATCACAAATGGTTTGTCCTGGAAATCTAGAAGTGGAGATTCTAACTTAGAACTCATACCCTGAAATAGAGGGGGCTGACCTCTCTGCCGCTGACAGTGATGGTGGGTAGGAGGGAATACTAAAATATGACAAGTTTTGAGACTCCCCTCAAGCTGGTGACACCAGTCTCTTCACCCAGGATTTCTTGGCTTCTAGAGATTTTATACGTACAGAGCCCTCACCTGAGGAAAAGGAAAAGGGGTTAAGGAAGTTTTGTTACCATCTTCTACAACCCTAGTAGCTCAGTAGTAGCCCATCTTGGGCACTATTCCCAGTTTCCTCCCAGACTGTTCACATACTGACTGCAGTTTTAATTTCACTTCCACAACTTTAATAAGGTCAGCTCAGAAGGAAAGATGAAATCCAACACTTATTTTTTCCCTGCTCCCTCCTGGGCCTATCGTCATTAGTGAAATTAGGTGGCTTCACCCCAACTCCTTCCCTCCTCTGTTAGCCAGGCAAGTGTGAATCATTCTGACCCAGACCAGGTGCACAAAAGCCTGGGCGGGACTTTTGATGAGTCAGACATTTCAGCCAGAATTCTTATCCCTTAGATTCTCCATCTCTAAAGCCATTGCCCCTCTGGGCCACCTGCTCTATAGTCAAGAAGAGTGGGATCTCCCTGGAGGACTCCTGTTTGATACAGTTCTCCTCTTTTGTAGTGGTCACCAAGAGTGGCAAGATAAAGAAAACCCTGAGTTGGGCGGGACCAGGATGCCTGACCGGGACAGCTATGCCAACGGTACCGGGAGCAGCGGTGGAGGCCCTGGAGGTGGTGGCAGCGAGGAGGCCAGTGGGGCAGGGACAGGCAGTGGCGGGGCCAGCTCAGATGCCATCTGTAGAGACTTCTTGAGGAATGTGTGCAAGCGAGGCAAGCGTTGCCGATATCGCCACCCAGACATGAGTGAGGTGTCCAACTTGGGGGTGAGCAAAAACGAGTTCATCTTCTGCCATGACTTCCAGAACAAGGAGTGTAGCCGCCCAAATTGCCGTTTCATCCATGGCTCCAAGGAGGATGAGGATGGCTATAAGAAGACAGGAGAGCTTCCCCCACGGCTGAGGCAGAAAGTAGCAGCTGGCCTTGGCCTTTCACCGGCAGACCTACCAAATGGCAAGGAGGAGGTCCCTATCTGCCGTGACTTTCTCAAGGGTGACTGTCAGAGAGGAGCCAAGTGCAAGTTCCGTCACCTGCAGCGGGATTTTGAGTTTGATGCTCGGGGTGGAGGAGGCACTGGTGGGGGCTCAACAGGCTCAGTCCTCCCAGGACGACGTCATGATCTCTATGATATCTATGACCTTCCTGACAGGGGCTTTGAGGACCATGAGCCAGGCCCAAAACGCCGGCGAGGTGGATGCTGCCCCCCTGATGGCCCTCATTTTGAGTCATATGAATATAGCTTGGCTCCACCGCGAGGGGTGGAGTGCAGACTGCTAGAGGAGGAGAATGCCATGCTCAGAAAGCGGGTAGAGGAGTTAAAGAAGCAGGTCAGTAACCTGCTCGCCACCAATGAGGTATTACTGGAACAAAATGCTCAGTTCCGCAATCAGGCCAAGGTCATAACCCTGAGCTCCACTGCACCAGCGACTGAGCAAACTCTGGCCCCCACTGTGGGCACTGTCGCTACTTTTAACCATGGCATTGCCCAGACTCACACTACTCTCAGCAGCCAGGCTCTACAGCCTCGTCCAGTGTCCCAGCAAGAACTGGTGGCCCCTGCTGGAGCTCCAGCGGCTCCCCCAACTAATGCTGCACCTCCTGCTGCTCCACCACCCCCACCCCCACACTTGACCCCAGAGATCACGCCACTGTCAGCTGCCCTGGCTCAAACAATTGCCCAGGGAATGGCACCCCCACCTGTCTCCATGGCTCCTGTGGCTGTATCTGTGGCTCCTGTGGCCCCTGTGGCTGTATCGATGGCCCAACCCTTGGCAGGAATCACAATGAGCCACACCACCACTCCCATGGTGACTTACCCTATCGCTTCCCAGAGCATGCGCATCACGGCCATGCCACACTGATGGGGCTAATGGACACTCCCCTGGTATAGCCTCCCAGGGCTGGGGTCAAGGGGCCCTTGCCCACTTGCCTAGCCCTCCCCAGCCCTGTCTGAAGGGCTCCCTTGAGAACTAGGACAAGAGACTACAAGCAGTATGTCCTGAGGAGGGGTTGGGTTGGTGTGTTTTCTCTCACCTCCCTTTTATGAGGGTCCTCTTGTCCATCTTCAAGCCTCACAGTGGGGGCTTGCAAAGGAATGCAGACTGAAGCCAGCAGAGAGGAAGGACTGACTGAAGGGCTGTGTCCTCTTACGGGAATTTGGGAACATCCCTCGTCTTGTCCTCTCTTCTGCACAGCACAGGTTCCAGCACTGGTTTTGGAAGAAAAAAATACCCTGCCCAGAGGGAAAGCCAGGAAAGATTGGGAAGTGGGTGATTAGGAGAGAAGGCCTGACAGGAGCCTTCAAACAATTTGGGTCCTAGTTGGTTGGGTTGGACAATAAAGGAATTGCTTCTGGGCCCTGGGAAGGCTGGGACCGTAGTGCTCCAGCCCAAAGACTAGGGAAGCATTCATTACCCTAGTTTGGCCTGAAAATCCATAGGGCAGGGCCCACTACTTTCCAAAGAAATAAAAGAACAATTATTTTTAACAAATGGAGGCAGTGAAAACTTGCTTAGATATTCTGTGTGGAAGATGGGAGCAGTAAATAGATCTCATGCCAAAATGGGATAAAGACCCCAGCCTCACATAGCTTTGGTAAGATGGATAGAAGCCAGTGAAGAAGGGTAGGGACCCAGAACAAGACCAAATGGGGCTTTGGGGAAGGCACTTTATGGGGCAAAAGCTTTGGAGCCACCTAGTCTAGTTTAAAAATAGTCCCATCTGTTTCTGGTCTCTGTCGGTATGTGCTGTTCCCAGGTTGCCTTAGTAACCAGGGCTCCTAGGGTCATTTAGCGGGGCAGGCAGTAAGGAGGGTGTATTTGCTGAGAAATGGGGATGGGATGTTACGTAGTTGACAGGTCCTTGTTCAAACAGCAGGACAGGTGGAGTTGATGGCAGTTGCCTCTGAGTTGATGGCAGTTAATGTCCCTCCTACGATGGCAGTTAATGTCCCTCCTATGCCAGCCCTTCCTCAGTGGCCAGTTCCTTAAGCCTTCAAGGCTTAGGAGGTCTGGGAAAAGAGTCCTTCTAGGGACACAAGGCTCAGGGTCCATCCCTTTCCTCTATCTCCACATAGCACCAGAAGTTTTAAATCTACTTGAGTCAGTAAGGCCAGGGGCCCCAATAGTCAAACCTCAGTTCCTCCTCAGCTCACAGCTGATGTAGGGAAAACAACTCAGGTGTCTAGTCTAATGGGACAGTAGATTTGGGGGTAGAGAGTGATCCTGGATTGTGTTCCCCCTCGTTATATCTCGTGCTACCTCTTGCTGTCTTGTCTGGTTGATCACTCAGGTCGCATCTGGGATTGGAGATGGTGGGCTAGGTCAAGGCCAGTCATTAAAAAGCCTAAAGACTGAAAGTGGGCTAACATTGTTTGTGGATTTTAGAAGCAACACATTGATAAGTTTAATGTTGTTTTTTTGGGGCACAAGTTTTTTTTTTTTTTTTTTTTTTTTTGAGATGGAGTCTTGCTCAGTTGCTAGAAGACTGGAGTGTAGTGGCACAATCTCAGCTCGCTGCAACATGCGCCTCCTGGGTTCAAGTGATTCTCTTGCGTCAGCCTCCTGAGTAGGTGGGACTACAGGCGCCCGTCACCAAGCCCAGCTAATTTTTTTATTTTTAGTAGAGACGGGGTTTCATCATGTTGGCCAGAATGGTATCGATCTCTCGTGATCCACCCGCCTCAGTCTCCCAAAGTGCTGGGATTACAGGTGTGAACCACCGTGCCCGGCAATTCTAGACTATTAAAAGAGATGGCTTACGAGCATTTAGAGAAGAATGTAACAATAGATACCAACATGAATTATCAGTCAAATCCTGACTGACTGTATTTCCTCCTTGCCAAGTTATCTCCAAAGAGGTAGATTTGGAAACTTTGGACATTGTATGTCTTGTATGTATTTACTCCAGCTAAAGACCACCAAGAATACACCTGGTAATTGAGCAAGTTGGGTTTAATGCTCATTGCAGTGAGGGGGAGGGCTCACCATTGAGAATACGTGGTGTGTCTCAGCATGAGGGTGTTAGGAAGGACTTAGAGGACTTAGACTTTGGTTAAGTGATTTTGGGGAAGATTCAGGAAAGCGGGTGTTTTTATGGGTTGGGTGCTGTTAAGGGAAGCAAGGATAACTCTATGATTGGGTAGCTTGTCTAGAAGAAGGGCAGACAAGTGAACCTAAGCTGCAGTCGATGATGAAGTCACTAGCTGGGAAAGGGGATGTTTGCTGTTTTGTGGTTTGCACACTGACCTTGTTTTGTGCTTAAACAAAATTGTCAAGTGATTTTGTTTTTTGTCTCACTTCATCACAGTCACTGAGTGATCTTGTCCGATGCTGGTGTTTTGTGAGATTGTGTCCAAGAGAACTCCTGACCTCAAATAGAAGAGAACTTTTGGACACAAACACACATAGCTTACAGGTGGTACCTGTGAGCACCAGGTCAGCCCTAACAGCTCTGAAGCCTGGCTGTGTCAGACCAGTTCCCAGATTACAGGAGCGGCTTTCCTCTCACCTGCTAAGTCATCACAGATAAGAGGAAAATTATGGGTCAGTTAATAGTAGCATTTTTTCCTTTCAAATGGCTCTGGTTAAAAAATAATAAGATAAAAAAATAGCATTTGGTGGAATCAAACTGAACACTTGTACTTAGTGTTGGTTAGGGCATTTATGTTGGTGAAATCTCTGTTCTCTAGTGATAAGCCCAAGGGCTGTGTTTTATTATAAAAAGAAAAAACCCAACTTGGGTAAACATATAAAAAGCCCATTTATCAACAGTAACACAGGAAGAGCTAAATAATATTCAAAGTGTCTGTAACTTGGATTGACTAAAACACTGGAGCACTCTCACACTAAAAACTTACTTAGATCTTGAGCTTGTCGGGGAACAATGTTAGAGATCTATATGAGCAATAATTCACATGAGAACAACCTGGGACTTCCAGTTGGCTGCAAAAAAATAGAATCTTAGCCCTCAATGTGTCCATTTATAAATATTAAGAGCATGCTATGTTCTAGGCATCTTTCTAGGAGGCTCCATAAGGGCAGTAGAACCTTGGTAATGGATTATAAATACAGCAGTCTATGTTCTGCGTTAAGTATAACCACTTAGTAGTGTGTTCTTCTAAATGTAATTTTTAAAGAGGGCCATTGACAAACCAGTGTGGTTTGCTGGAAAAAAGAAAAGGCTGGCAAGAGAAAGCTTCAAATAGAAGTCTACAAATATTTGAAGGGCTGCCCAGTGGAGGAAGGTCCTGTTTGCTACATAGGAAATAAAAAGGGAGTTCTGGAATAATGGCTAACATTTGTTTTTTTGTTTTGTTTTTTTGTGTTTTTTTTGAGACAGAGTCTCACTGTGTCGCCCAGTCTGGAGTGCAGTGGCGCGATCTCCACTCACTGCAAGCTCCACCTCCACGGTTCATGCCATTCTACCTCAGCCTCCCAAGTAGCTGGGACTACAGGTGCCTGCCACCACACCTGGCTAATTTTTTTTTTTTTTTTTGTATTTTTAGTAGAGACGGGGTTTCACTGTGTTAGCCAGGATGGTCTCAATTTCCTGACCTCATGATCCGCCCGCCTCGGCCTCCCAAAGTGCTGGGATTACAGGTGTGGGCCACCGCGCCCGGCCAGCTAACATTCGTTGACTGCTTAATGTAAGCCAAGGCTCTGTGCTAGGCACTTTACGTGCAAGGTCTCGTTGACACAATGGGTACTATTATTGTACCCATTTTACAGAGGAGAAAGCAGGCTTAAAAAGTAACCTGCCCAGGGTTCTGCAAGTAAGGAATGGGGCCAGGAATCTATTCAGGCAGTCTGACTCCAGACTTGACATAAGAAAGTTCTAATGATATAGCCATCCAACAAAGGGATCATTACTTGGCAGTTTTTTTTTTTTTTTTTTTGAGACGGAGTCTAGCTCTGTCGCCCAGGCTGGAGTGCAGTGGCCGGATCTCAGCTCACTGCAAGCTCCGCCTCCCGGGTTTACGCCATTCTCCTGGCTCAGCCTCCCGAGTAGCTGGGACTACAGGCGCCGCCACCTCACCCGGCTAGTTTTTTGTATTTTTTAGTAGAGACGGGGTTTCACCGTGTTAACCAGGATGGTCTCGATCTGCTGACCTTGTGATCCGCCCATCTCGGCCTCCCAAAGTGCTAGGATTACAGGCTTGAGCCACCGCGCCTGGCCACTTGGCAGTTTTTTTATTTGTTTGTTTTTTGAGATGGAGTATCACTCTGTTGCCCAGGCTGGAGTGTAGTGGTATGATCTCGGCTCACTGCAACCTCCACCTCTTGGGTTGAAGTGATTCTCCTGCCTCAGCCTCCCAAGTAGAGTATCTGGGATCACAGGCACCTGCCACCATGCTTGGCTAATTTTTATATTTTCAGTAAAGGGGGTTTTGCCATGTTGACCAGGCTGGTCTTGAACTCCTGACCTCAGGTGATCCGCCTGCCTCGGCCTCCCGAAGTGCTGGGATTACAGGGTGAGCCACCGCGCCTGGCTTGGCAGTAACTTGAGGAATAAAGAATACAGAAGGAATTTCCTCAAATCTTGTTGCCCTTCCCATCTTTGTGAGCTGAGATGAGAGTACCCTCTGCCTCTGCCTCTTGGAGGCGATTATGGTTTACATATAAATGCAGATTGCAAGTCCAGGAAGTTTATTCTCTTTCCTCCTGTAGGCCTCATGCTGTAAGACACTTCCTCTAACAAATGGCCATCCCTTCCTGTTGTCCACTTACTGCTTATCACCACCAGGTGGCACCTGGGCAGCAGAATTGTCAGTGGGCGGGGACACACCCTGTTTACTTGTGTTGGTAACTAGCTGCATTGCAGCTGCTGATCCTGTGGCTCCTGGGCCCCAGCTGGGACAAGACCTCCCTGAGGATGAAGTTTTATCCCCTATATAATTTCTGATGATCTGGATGAGGTGAGGAAGGGAGAAGTTTGGAAAGGAACATCCATAGGTCATCCTCTCCATTCGCCCACCCTCAGGAACATCTTACCCTACTCCAGTGCTTGGCAAATTTCAGTTTATAGAGAGGTTTCTCTCTCAGGAGTTTCATCCATGTTCCTGCTGTAGTTCTGCTTTATCAGTTGGTGAGCAGATCACTCATAATTCCTCCAAGTTCCTTGTTTCCTTTTCTACCTGCTCACCTCTGGGAATATGGAGGATGTAGGAGAGAGAATATTGTTTCTTAAATAGTTCTGCAAACTGAGTGAAGCAGTTGAGATACTACTGGCCCTAGGGAAGTAGAGAAAAGGAAGTGAAAAAATTTAAGGGGTAGAGGCTGGGCAGGGACAGGTTTTAAGCAGCTTTGGTAAACACAGGCTGATTAAATCTATGCCCTGCAGAACCAGATAAAATTTATCAGCTGCAGGCCTCATCCTGTAAGACACTTCCTCTAAGAAATGGCTAGTTTCTCCCCAATGATCAACCCCAGTTCTGCTGCTGCATCTGACAGATTTACGTAATATGCCCCACATATACTGCATTAAAAGGTAATCATCTTATGACCAACACTTCCGTCATCAACGTCCAGTTAGCCTAGTACCTAGATCCCAGGACAACACTCTACCTCTAAGGCCAGTTAACTAGTAACAATAGTCATCGGTGTACCCCGCACTTTTTCCTTCCTAAACCTACACAGTACACTGTGGGACTGCATTAGTTCTGCACCTGACTGGCAAACCTTCCTTCTAACTCAGGCAAATGTGAAAGGGAATTGTCTTTCCCTCACTCTTGATCCCTCATTTTAATGTCCTAGAAGTTCCTCAGGGTCAGAAAATTCTTGGAAAATGTAATAATTTGCGCTGCCTCCCTCCCTTTTGGAGCCAACTAGTCTTATACCCATCCTCTATGATAGAGATGACTTATTAACTCTTGGAAATTTCCAAAAAGAAATAAAGCCTCACTTTCTATTCACTCCTCTGCTTTTTTCCCCACTTTCCCTGAAGGCTGGATTATCTCAACTCTGTAATTCTCTGACTCTCCAGTTTTCTCCAGGGTCAGTCGTTACACCACACAAACAAGGTAGGGGATTGGGGACGGGATAGACAGGGTCAATCTTCAAACACTTTCATTCCAAATACGATCGTATCCTTTCCTTTTGTAAAGGCAGGCAGGAAAAAGCTGAAGGATAAGGAATGTGCTTAGAGTATGAAAACTAAAAGTCGGCAAAAGAATATATACATATCCCAGACCAAATCCTGCCAAACCGTCCGAATGAGTAGAGGGAAATCCTGACGCTCCACAACCCCTCAACTTGGCAACTTGGGCTTTCTCCAAAACCAAGAAATTGGCGGTGCGGCTCTCCATGACGTCATACCACAGGGACTCCAATCCCACGTGGGGGAGCTCTTGGTCCCGCCTCTCCTGAAATGGTGCACCACGCCTTCTCTTTATTACCAATCCAATGCCGCCCCTGAGCCCCTTTCTTCCTTTTCCCGCCATCCCAGACCTCCCATCTTGGCCTTCGGGCCCAATCAGGGAGGCCCTACCTATCCGAAACCCGCTGCCTTCCCCGCGGAAGAGGGGAGGAGTTTCAACCTTTTAACTCCACCTTGGTCTGTGCAGCGCGGACCAACCCAAATCGCCAGAAAGGAGGGGCGTGGCTTGAAGTCCCCCACCTCCATCCCGGGGATCACGTTTTGCCACTGGAGGGGGGAGCTGATCGCAGGACTAGGCAACCTCCAGCCAGTCCCTGGGTCGGGCGGATCCTCCCAGAGGTGGCACAATGGAGCGATCTCCAGGAGAGGGCCCCAGCCCCAGCCCCATGGACCAGCCTTCTGCTCCCTCCGACCCCACTGACCAGCCCCCCGCTGCTCACGCAAAGCTAGACCCAGGTTCTGGAGGCCAACCTGCTGGCCCTGGCGCGGCGGGTGAGGCCCTGGCGGTGCTGACTTCGTTCGGGAGGCGGTTGCTGGTGCTGATACCGGTGTATTTGGCCGGGGCAGTGGGACTCAGCGTGGGTTTCGTGCTCTTCGGCCTCGCCCTCTACCTGGGCTGGCGCCGGGTCCGCGACGAGAAAGAACGGAGCCTTCGAGCAGCGAGGCAGCTACTGGACGACGAGGAGCAGCTCACGGCGAAAACTCTTTATATGAGTCATCGAGAGCTACCTGCCTGGGTGAGCGACCACCCTCGGTCCTCTGTGCAGCATAGCCCCCTTCCACTCCTTCCGTCTGGGGCTTTTCCTCCTTATGCCTAGAGTCAGCTCCCCGCCTTGGGACAGTGGGCCCCGGACTTTCCCCTCTCTCCCCGCTAGCTGCCTGCCTGCTGGACGCGCCACTCTTGGGACCGACTGCTGACTCTCCCCACCCACCCTTTCCCACGCCCAGACTGGATCCTTCCACAGAATCAGGACTTCTTCCTCTACTCTTGGGCAACAGCAGTCATAACATCTGGGGACCCCGTCTCAGCCGAAGCTCTCCCTCCTAGCCAAGCCATCTTCAACGCCCCTCTTGCTTTTGGTGCCACTCGCGCCTTTGCTGCTCCTGGAAATCCTGGTCCCGTTACCTCTCAAAGGTTTCCCTAGTCTTTGCTATGCTCCTCGAGACTTTTTACCTACTTAAGGCCTTACGGTTCTCTCTTTTCTCGCTTTTATCCCCGGGTATCCGCTGGAACCCAGCCCCGGCCCCTGGACGACCCTCAGGCAGCCACCTTCAGGCCTCCAGCCGCCAGGCTGCAGCGCGGCAGAGGCCGCTGCTGGAGGGAGGGCGGGGTACGGGAGGAGGTGGTGCGGCTGCTGCAGTGCCCGCGGCCCACACTCCCCCCCACCCCCTCGGCCGGCCACACCCGTTTCCGGACTGTGGGCTGCGCTTGTTCCGTTGGGGCAGAGACCCTTATTTCTGCGGCGGCCGAGTCTGCTGTGCTGAGGCGGATGCCTTCTCTTTAGCCTTGCAGAGGCAAAGCCCGTTACCCGGCCCCTCCCAGCAGAGGTGCCAGTCTAGGGGGAGAATGGTAGCAGAGAGGAGTCAAAATTGACACTAGGCAGATACAGCCAAGCTTCCTAGGCCTTGGACTGGAAAGGGGAGGAGAAAGAGGGTGAAATGGCCCTAGGGGACCTGTAGCCTAGGCAGCAAGTGTTTGTCTCCTCCCCGTCATCATGGAAACCAATCTACCCCCAATACAAAGCACAGGTGTCCTTTCCCTTAAAAGGAGTCACACAGAGAAAGATAGAGGAAAAGAAAAAAAAAACAAAAAACAAAAAAACACGCACACACACACCCCAAAAAACCCACAAAGCCAGGCCCAATTAGGTCTTCTGGCCCCTCCCTGACTCAAGGAAGGACTTGCTTCCCTCTTCACCTTCCTGCTCTAGAAGCCCGGTCTGAAGGGAGTTGAGAAGGCAGGACTTTTTTTTTTTTTTTTTTTTTTTTTTTTAGACAGAGTCTCTCACTCTGTTGCCAGGCTGGAATGCAGTGGCCCGAACTTGGCTCACTGCAACCTCCACCTCCCCGGTTCAAGCGATTCTCCTGCCTCAGCCTCCTGCGTAGCTGGGATTACAGGCATGCACCACCATGCCCAGCGAATTTTGTATTTTTTGTAGAGATGGGGTTTCACCATGCTGGTCAGGCTGGTGTCGAACTCCTGACCTCGTGATCCACCAGCCTCGGCCTCCCAAAGTGCTGAGATTACAGATGTGAGCTACCGCGGCCAGCCTGGAACCAGGACTTTTTAAATCCCAGGATTCCCTGAAACTTTGATTTGACTGGGCCTCCCCCTCCAGAAAGAATGTGCCCTTCTCCTCCTCCTGCTCTTCTCTCTCTCAGCAGCTGTCATTTCACCACGTCCCTGAGCTACCCACAGGGCAACAATGTGACCTCTACCCTGTCAGCTCCCCTTATTAGAGAGATCTCAGCCCCCAAATTCTGTGAGGAATGAACCTTTGGGGCATCCCAGCCCCTCATCCACCCTGAGTGTGAGGAGTCTGTCACACTTACACACTCCCTCTCCTCTGTGGCATACCACCAGCATCTTGGTAGGAAACCAGAGGCGAGGGTGTGCACGTCACTGTCTCTGCCTTCCCCACCTCCAGGTCAGCTTCCCAGACGTGGAAAAGGCTGAATGGCTCAATAAGGTGAGGATTGATTTGATTTTTAGTCTTCGTGAGGGGAGAATGGGAATTTGTTTCTTCTTGCCAGACCCACCCTCATCCCTCAGTGCTCTCCGTAGGGATTCTGAAGGAACTTGCCTTGAGAGGGAAGACTGGGTTCTCCTCTGACCATCTCTCTCTTTCCTCCCAGATTGTGGCCCAGGTCTGGCCCTTCCTGGGCCAGTATATGGAGAAACTTCTGGCTGAGACTGTGGCTCCGGCTGTTAGGGGATCTAACCCCCATCTGCAAACATTTACATTTACACGAGTGGAACTGGGTGAAAAGGTATGTGTGGAGGAGGAAAAGTGAGGCGGTGGGATAGGGAGGGTGAATGACCCAGAGTAGACTGAGGTACTTCTCCCTTTCCCTCCCCTGTCTCAGGACTTTCTCTCTCCCTAGCCATTGCGCATCATTGGAGTCAAGGTTCACCCAGGTCAGAGAAAAGAGCAGATCCTGCTGGACTTGAACATCAGGTAATACCACTCACCACTCTTACTGCTTCCCCTTCAATGTGTCCTGGTCAGTCCAGGCTACTTCACTCCCCTTCCCCGCAACTTCAGCCAAGGACTAACCCTCTTGGTTCTCTTCTTTACCAATCCCCAGCTATGTAGGTGATGTGCAGATTGATGTAGAAGTGAAGAAATACTTCTGCAAAGCAGGAGTCAAGGGCATGCAGGTAGGCCATATGTCAGGGGGCCCACATAATAGGGAATGTTTGTCCTACGTTTCATGGGATATGGGGAACTGTGAGGTTGGAAAGACCAAGGCTGAGAAAGTCTGGGAGGACAGAAGAGGGACTTTTCTGGGGAAAGGCTTTGATTTTCTCTTCTTGCCTCAGCTACATGGTGTCTTGCGGGTGATTCTGGAGCCACTCATTGGGGACCTTCCCATTGTGGGGGCTGTGTCAATGTTCTTCATCCGACGCCCGGTAAGGGAAAACAATGAAGGGGTATGGGGAAGCAGGGGAAGCAGAGAGGACTGGGAGGATGAGGGCAGCCAGCGATGCGGAATGAGAAGGGAATTGACAAGAAGGCCAAGGGGTCTGGCAACTGTTGGATGGGTGTATGACCACACCCCATAGGATCTGTCCTGACCCCTGCTCTTTCCCTGCAGACCCTAGACATCAACTGGACAGGGATGACCAACCTGCTGGATATCCCAGGACTTAGGTATCAAGGACTTACTGAGCATCTGCTGAGTGTTCCAGCGCTGGGTTGGGGGTTTAAGGGACACAGAGCAGTCAAAGATGCTGCTTGTGTCCTCTAGGAGCCTCAACTTCAGTTGGGGAGCGAAGACAAATACCCCTGGAAAGTTTGATACTGTGATTTTTCTTCGGGTTGAGGGAGCAGGTAGGGAATGAAGAGGGCTGAAGACTGCAAAAGGCAATGGGGATGGCAGTGAAGAAGGGAGAGAGCAGTAGGTGGGGAATTAGGGTAGAAGAGTAGCACAAAGGATTTTTACAAAAGGACTTTCTTACAGCTTTAGGTGTGGGAAACATAGTTGGGGTTAGGAGAAAATTGAAGTTGAGGCCATACCCATTGCTTTCTACTCCCCCATTCAGCTCACTCTCTGACACCATGATCATGGACTCCATCGCTGCCTTCCTCGTGTTGCCCAATCGATTACTGGTGCCCCTTGTGCCTGACCTTCAAGATGTGGCTCAGTTGCGTTCCCCTCTGCCCAGGGTATGGCCTTTTCCCCACTAGATAGATCCTTCTCTCAGGAACCCCTTGCTGGGTCCTTAGTTTCTCACCATCTGATTCCTTCCTCCAGGGCATTATTCGAATTCACCTGCTGGCTGCTCGAGGGCTGAGTTCCAAGGACAAATATGTGAAGGGCCTGATTGAGGGCAAGTCAGACCCGTACGCACTTGTGCGTTTGGGCACCCAGACATTCTGCAGTCGTGTCATTGATGAAGAACTCAACCCACAGTGGGGAGAGACTTATGAGGTGGGAGAGTTGAGCAGCTGTGTGAAATGGGGAAGCCCCAGGAGGCCGTGAGAGAAGATGCTGATGAGATGATCTTCACAGCTGCAGCCCCATGAGACACTCAGCCTTCTGTGTTCCCCAGGTGATGGTACACGAGGTCCCAGGGCAGGAGATTGAAGTGGAGGTGTTCGACAAGGATCCAGATAAAGATGACTTTCTGGGCAGGTGAGACTCCGCCTGTTAGGATTCTAAAGCCCATGCTGGCCGGGTGCGGTGGCTCACGCCTGTAATCCCAGCACTTTTGTTGACCAAGGCTTGCAGATCATGAGGTCAGGAGATTAAGACCATCCTGGCTAACACCGTGAAACCCCATTTCTACTAAATATACAAAAATTAGCCGGGCGTGGTGGCAGGCGCCTGTAGTCCTAGCTACTTGGGAGGCTGAGGCAGGAGAATGGCAGGTGAACCCAGGAGGCAGAGCTTGCAGTGAGCCAAGATCGTGCCACTGCACTCCAGCCTGAGCGACAGAGCGAGACTCCGTCTCTAAAGAAAAAATAATAATAAAAAAAAATAATAATAAAGCCCATGCTACCGAGGTTCTGGAGGTAATTATACTCACCTTCTGGGCCTGGGAATAATGTATCATTTTCCTTCCTAACCTCCCCACCCCTAACCCCTACCATGCACACATTCACGCATGCAGGTGAATATCTCCTGAGAGGAATAAGGGAGTCTGAGATCTGCCAGTCATTTCTCGGTGGGTGAGTGGAGGGCCACTGACCTGCTGCTAATTACAACACTCCCCTTTTCTTCCTTTCACTACCCTCTCCCCTCCCCATCCCAGAATGAAGCTGGATGTAGGGAAGGTGTTACAGGCTGGTGTTCTGGATGATGTAAGTTGGGAGAAGAGGAAGGTGGGGGCTGATCTCACCCCTTGGGCAGACGGTAGTTGCTACATTGGTAGGGAAGTAGTTAAGCAGATATCTGATCTCTACCACATCTCAATTTCTTCTAGTGGTTCCCGCTACAAGGTGGGCAAGGCCAAGTTCACTTGAGGCTAGAATGGCTGTCGCTTTTGTCAGATGCAGAGAAACTGGAGCAGGTACACCACATGGGAAACAGGAAGCTGGCAGGGGAGAAGTAGGTAGCTGGAAATGTAGGGGACTTGGAACGGGGACCAAGATCTGACTACTACTACCCCTCCCCAGGTTCTACAGTGGAATCGGGGAGTCTCCTCTCGACCAGAGCCCCCATCAGCTGCCATCTTAGTTGTCTACCTGGATCGGGCCCAGGATCTTCCTGTGAGTTTGGCTGGGTGAACAGGAGCCCTGGATGTAGCATTCCCCAACCCTGCCTTGCTGAGGATGCAGTTGTCACTGCCTGCTTTGCTCCAGAAGTATCAGCATGTAACACAAGGGTCCCAGGGAGGGGATCAGATCCATCTCAGGGAAAGGATTCTGATGCGATCCCACCTTCCTTCACCAAAACCAAAACCAAATCCCCCAAGATGGTGACCTCTGAATTGTACCCATCACAGCTGAAGAAGGGGAACAAGGAACCCAACCCCATGGTACAACTGTCAATTCAGGATGTGACTCAGGAAAGCAAGGTGAGGGCCGGGACATCATTGTCGGGGGCCAGGTGGGACAGGGAGAGGCCTGTTCTTGGAATGGTTTCCCCTTAGAATGCCTGTTATGTGCAGAGGTTTTCTGGAGAAACAGGAGTGGTGCTGTGGTATACACCCTTAATCCCTCCTCCACATCTCCAGGCTGTCTACAGTACCAACTGCCCGGTGTGGGAGGAAGCATTCCGGTTCTTCCTACAAGACCCTCAAAGCCAGGAGCTCGATGTGCAAGTGAGATAATCACCTCTTTATCCCCTCTTGAATACCCTATTGTGTCTATCCAGATTAGTAACATTTCTCCTCTCCTTCTTTTCCCTTCATTCCGATTTTTAATCCATCTACCTAGACTCCCCACCTCCCTGAATATCTCTCCACTGTTCCCCAACTGTTGCTCCAGAATACTTTTTTTTTTTTTTTTGAGATGCTGTCTCGCTCTGTTGCCCAGGCTGGAGTGCGATGGTGCGATCTCAGCTGACTGCAACCTCCGCCTGCCGGGTTCAAGCAATTCTCCTGCCTCAGCCTCCTGAGTAGCTGGGATTACAGGCACGCACCACCACGCCCGGCTAATTTTTGTATTTTTAGTAGAGATGGGATTTCACCATGTTGGCCAGGCTGCTCTCGAACTCCTGACCTCAGGTGATCTGCCTGCCTCAGCCTCCCAAAGTGCTGGGATTATAGGCATAAGCCACCGCACCTGGCCTTAGTTCGTATGTACTAGTTCTTGAATGATTTTATATATGTGTGTCTTGTCTATGAAACTGGCCAGTAAGCATTGTGAAAGCAGATACTATGTTTTGTGCTTTTTCTATGACCTTTAAAATTCTGAATGTTAACAATTTTAGGCCGGGCGCGGTGGCTCAAGCCTGTAATCCCAGCACTTTGGGAGGCCGAGATGGGCGGATCACGAGGTCAGGAGATCGAGACCATCCTGGCTAACACGGTGAAACCCCGTCTCTACTAAGAAATACAAAAAACAGCCGGGCGAGGTGGCAGCGCCTGTAGTCCCAGCTACTCGGGAGGCTGAGGCCGGAGAATGGCGTGAACCCGGGAGGCGGAGCTTGCAGTGAGCTGAGATCCGGCCACTGCACTCCAGCCTGGGCTACAGAGCGAGACTCCGTCTCAAAAAAAAAAAAAAAAACAATTTTATTGAGGCATAATTTACATACCATACAATCACTCATTTTAGGTATATAATTCCCAATTATAAAAAATTATTCTGGGCCGGGCGCGGTGGCTCAAGCCTGTAATCCCAGCACTTTGGGAGGCCGAGATGGGCGGATCACAAGGTCAGGAGATCGAGACCATCCTGTCTAACCTGGTGAAACCCCGTCTCTACTAAAAAATACAAAAAACTAGCTGGGCGAGGTGGCAGGCGCCTGTAGTCCCAGCTACTCGGGAGGCTGAGGCAGGAGAATGGCGTGAACCCAAAAGGCGGAGCTTGCAGTGAGCTGAGATCCGGCCACTGCACTCCAGCCTGGGCGACAGAGCGAGACTCCGCCTCAAAAAAAAAAAAAAAAAAAAATTATTCTGGCCGGGCGCAGTGGTTCATGCCTGTAATCCCAGCACTTTGGGAGGCCGAGGCAGGTGGATCACGAGATCCGGAGATTGAGACCATCCTGGTTAACACGGTGAAACCCCATCTCTACTAAAAATACAAAATATTAGCCGGGTGTGGTGGTGGGCGCCTGTAGTCCCAGCTACTCAGGAGGCTGAGGCAGGAGAATGGCGTGAACCCGGGAGGCGGAGCTTGCAGTGAGCAGAGATTGCACCACTGCACTGTGCAGCCTGGGTGACACAGCAAGACTCCGTCTCAAAAAAAAAAAAAAAAAATTATTCTAAGACTGGGCGCGGTACCTAAAATGAGTGATTTTATGGTATGTAAATTATGCCTCAATAAAATCGCTAACAGTCAGCATTTTTTTTTTTTTTTTTTGAGACGGAGTCTCGCTCTGTCGCCCAGGCTGGAGTGCAGTGGCCAGATCTCGGCTCACTGCAAGCTCCGCCTCCCGGGTTTACGCCATTCTCCTGCCTCAGCCTCCCGAGTAGCTGGGACTACAGGCGCCCGTCACCTCGCCCGGCTAGTTTTTTGTATTTTTTAGTAGAGATGGGGTTTCACTGGGTTAGCCAGGATGGTCTCGATCTCCTGACCTCGTGATCCGCCCGTCTCGGCCTCCCAAAGTGCTGGGATTACAGGCTTGAGCCACCGCGCCTGGCCCTTTTTTTTTTTTTTTTTGAGACAGAGTTTCGCTCTTGTTGCCCAGGCTGGAGTACAATGGCGCGATCTCGGCTCACCGCAATCCCCACCTTCTGGGTTCAAGTGATTCTCCTGCCTCAGCCTCCGGAGTAGCTGGGATTACAGGGATGTGCCACCACGCCTGGCTAATTTTTGTGTGTGTTTTTAGTAGCGACGGGGTTTCTCCATGTTGGTCAGACTGGTCTCGAACTCCCGACCTCAGGTGATCCGCCTGCCTCAACTTCCCAAAGTGCTTGGATTACAGGCGTGAGCCACCATGCCTGGCCCCACATTCAGCATTTTAAAGGTCATAGAAAAAGCACAAAACGTAGTGTCTGCCTTCACAATGCTTACTGGCCAGTTTCATAGACAAGACACATATATAAAATCATTCAACAAGTACATATGAACCAAGGCCAGGCGCAGTGGCTCATGCCTGTAATCCCAGCACTTTGGGAGGCCAAGGCAGGCGGATCACCTGAGGTCAGGAGTTTGAGACCAGCCTGGTCAGCATGGTGAAACGCCATCTGTACTAAAAATATAAAAATTAGCCGGGCACGGTGGCACACACCTGTAATCCCAGCTACTTGGGAGGCTGAGGCAGGAGAATCATTTGAACCCGGGAAGTGGAAGTTGTGGTGAGCCGATTTCATTCCACTGCACTCCAGCCTGGGTGACAGAGCAAAACTCTGTCTCAAAAAAAAAAAAAAACAGAAGAATAACAGTTACATAGGAATTTGTATAGGACTAAGGAGGGTCAGAGAAAGGGACAGGCTGGAATAACTAGGGAGATTTTGTGAAGCAAGAAGTAGGATTTTAATTGAGTCTTGAAAGATGAGTAGGATTTAAATAGGCAGAGGGAAGAGAATGAGGACTTTCCAAATAGTGGGAGCAGAATGAACAAAGGTGGAAGAGGCCATGGATTGGGCAGAGTACTATAAAAGATGACTCTGGCCGAGGTGGGCGGATTGCCTGAGCTCAGGAGTTTGAGACCAGCCTGGGCAAGACGATGAAACCCCATCTCTACTAAAAAATACGAAAACTTAGCCGGGCATGACAGCATGCGCCTGTAGTCCCAGCTATTTGGGAGGCTGAGGTAGAAGAATGGGTTGAACCCAGGAGGTCGAAGTTGCAGTGAACCAAGATGGCGCCATTGCACTCCAGGTTTTTTTGAGACTCTGTCTCAAAAAAAAAAAAAAAAAAAAAAAAAGTGGCCCTGAGTGGAGCAGGAGGTTTGTGATTGGTCCAGAGAGGAATGAAACTGGAGCCATGTTATCATTTTCACAGTATGCCATCCTTTCCCCTAATCCCTTCGCTATAGTCCTTCCTCCTGTTCCTGTAGGTGAAGGATGATTCCAGGGCCCTGACTTTAGGAGCACTGACACTGCCTCTGGCCCGCCTGCTGACTGCCCCAGAACTCACCCTGGACCAGTGGTTCCAGCTTAGCAGCTCTGGCCCAAACTCCAGACTCTACATTAAACTAGTCATGAGGGTATGGAAACGGAGGAGGTACTGAGGTGTGGGGGAAAGGCCTGTTCATTCTTCGGTATTAAGAGTAAGCAAAGGGAGCCTCCTAAGATTAAATGAGCTAATACATGTAGAAGTGCCAAGCAGGCACAAAAACATATTGATCTGACTGGTGGAAGGAATGGCTTATGAGTTGAAGGGGTGTGGAGGGAAGCCTCTAGAGATGAGCCCAGCCAAGGCAGCACCTAGTTCCCCTGTCACAGCCCCTCCTCTACCCCACCCCACATGCCTTGCCTGTTGGTGGCGAGCTGTACTTCTTTGATTTGACATCACACTACCCTTCCCAGATCCTGTACTTGGATTCATCAGAAATATGCTTCCCCACTGTGCCTGGTAGTCCTGGTGCTTGGGACGTGGACAGTGAGAGTCCCCAGAGAGGCAGCAGTGTGGATGCCCCACCTCGACCCTGTCACACTACTCCTGATAGCCAGTTTGGGACTGAGGTGAGTCTATATCTGGAAAGGACTAGGTTCTGTTTGCCCTGCTTAGTGTGCAAAGCCTGTTTCAGGGCAGATTCTGACAGGTCTCTCTCCCTTTGCCATCTGGTGCTGCCCTGTCCCTTTTGCAGCATGTGCTTCGGATCCATGTATTAGAGGCCCAGGACCTGATTGCCAAAGACCGTTTCTTGGGGGGACTGGTGAAGGGCAAGTCAGACCCCTATGTCAAACTAAAGCTGGCAGGACGAAGCTTCCGGAGCCATGTTGTTCGGGAAGATCTCAATCCCCGCTGGAATGAGGTTTTTGAGGTCAGAATTGAATGGCTGTGACTCCTGGTTCTGCCCCATTTTTCCCCAATCCCAAAAGTGGTCCAGAAACCTCTGAGGTTCAGTTGACTGGGGGGTCTGGTCATTTGCAGAGGAAAAGGAGAGAATCCTCTTTCATCTGCACTATTGTCTCCCACTAGGTGATTGTCACATCAGTTCCAGGCCAAGAGCTAGAGGTTGAAGTCTTTGACAAGGACTTGGACAAGGATGATTTTCTGGGCAGGTGAGAGCATAGGAGTCTAGGTGAAAAACAGGCTGGGGCTCTTTAGGCCATGGAGTCTGGCCTCCTTGGTTCTCACCATCTAGCTTTTGTCTTAATCTTTCTCTTCCACAGGTGTAAAGTGAGTCTCACCACAGTCTTAAACAGTGGCTTCCTTGATGAGGTGAGCATGGAATTAGAGTCAACGACCCCTCCTGATCCTGCCCTTGCCTCATTCTCATAGTTCTCCTGTCTGCATACCCCCAAGTCTTCACCCTGCCTACTTCCACAGTGGCTGACCCTGGAGGATGTCCCATCTGGCCGCCTGCACTTGCGCCTGGAGCGTCTCACCCCCCGTCCCACTGCTGCTGAGTTAGAGGAGGTAGGGCAGGAGACTGGAGGAAGGAAGAGACCCAAGATGGGGCAGGATGAGCTCTTCTCTTAGTGTTCAGGCCACATGCCGGAACCCAAGGTGTCAGTTACCACTCCCCAGCCCCGTGTGCCCCCCAACAGGTGCTGCAGGTGAATAGTTTGATCCAGACTCAGAAGAGTGCGGAGCTGGCCGCGGCCCTGCTATCCGTCTATATGGAGCGGGCAGAGGACCTGCCGGTGAGATCCCACTCCCCATGCCCCATAACTTCCTGGCCCTTCTTCCACCTCCCTCTGGTTTGGATGCTCCTGGAGTATTTGGAATAGGAAAAATGGCCCCTCTCTTTCTGAGGGTGGTGCACGTGTGGGAAAAATTGTCTGTTCGAGGCCACGGGGTAGTGGCTGCCAAGTAATAATGGAGACATGGCTGCTGGCTGTGGATATAATTTGTGAGGGCGATCTGCCTAACTAGGTCCAAATTTAAGACTAACACAGTGTTCTCTTTCTAGCTGCGAAAAGGCACCAAGCCCCCCAACCCTTATGCTACTCTCACTGTGGGAGATACTTCTCATAAAACCAAGGTATGAAGAAATGCTGCAGGGTAAAAATGGGAGGGACAAGAGGAATAAGAGTATCAGCCGCTGATAGTAAGCCCTCATCTCCACCAGACTGTTTCACAAACTTCAGCCCCTGTCTGGGATGAGAGTGCCTCCTTTCTCATCAGGAAACCACACATTGAGAGCCTGGAGTTGCAGGTACTGTAAATTCATTCTTCAAATATTTAGCAAATTTCTGCCATGGCCAGGCAGTAAACCAGGCACAGAGCATTCAGAGATGAGATAAAAGATTGACTGGTTTTTATTTGTTTTTTTTTTTTTGAGACAAGAGTCTTGCTCTGTCACCCAGGCTGGAGTGCAGTGGCGCTATCTTGGCTCACTGCAAGCTCCGCCTCCTGGGTTCACGCCATTCTCCTGCCTCAGCCTCCCTAGTAGCTGGGACTACAGGCGCCCGCCACCACACCTGGCTAATTTTTGCATTTTTTTTTAGTAGAGATGGAGTTTCATCATGTTAGCCAGGATGGTCTCGAACTCCTGACCTCAGGTGATCCGCCCACCTCGGCCTCCCAAAGTGCTTTGAATACAGGTGTGAGCCACCGCACCCAGCCAAAAGTCTGACTTCTTATCTCTATGGAGCTCACACTCTGTTTTGGGAGAAAAATAACCAGATAAAACTTCCAGAATGATAACTGAGGTAAAAGGGACTGTGGGGAAGAAAGGAGGGGTTCAGGCTGGGGAAAAGCTGGAGATAGAAAGGCATCTTTAGATGACCCTGAGCTTGAGGGTAGATTCTTTTTTTTTTTTTTTTTGAGACGGAGTCTTACTCTGTCGCCCAGGCTGGAGTGCAGTGGCTGGATCTCAGCTCACTGCAAGCTCCGCCTCCCGGGTTCACGCCATTCTCCTGCCTCAGCCTCCCGAGTAGCTGGGACTACAGGCGCCCGCCACCTCGCCTGGCTAGTTTTTTGTATTTTTTAGTGGAGACGGGGTTTCACCATGTTAGCCCATGTTGGGATGGTCTCGATCTCCTGACCTCGTGATCCGCCCGTCTCGGCCTCCCAAAGTGCTGGGATTACAGGCTTGAGCCACCGCGCCTGGCCTTTTTTTTTTTTTTTTTTTTTTGAGACTAGAGTCTCGCTGTTGTTGCCCAGGCTAGAGTGCAATGGTGCCATCTCAGCTCGCTGCAACCTCCGCCTCCCAGGTTCAAGTGGTTCAGGTTCTCCTGATTCAGCCACCAGCGTAGCTGGGATTACATGCACATGCCACCACGCCCAGCCAATTTTTAGTAGAGACAGGGTTTCGCCATGTTGGCCAGGCTGGTCTCGAACTCCTGACCTCAGGTTATCCATCCACGTCAGCCTCCCCAAGTGCTGGGATTACAGGTGTGAGCCACTGCACCTGGCCTTTTTTTTTTTTTTTTTAGACAGGGTGTTACTCTGTCGCCCAGGCTGGAGTGCAGTGGTACAATCAGGGCTCACTACAGCCTCAACTCCTGGGCTCTAGCAATCCTCCCCCCTCAGCTGGGATAACAGGTGCACACTACCACACCCAGCTAATTTTTGTATTTTTTTGTGAAGATGAGGTTTTGCCATGTCGTCCAGGCTGGTCTCGAACTCCTGGACTCAAGCATTCTGCCCACCTCAGCATCTAAAGTGCTGGGATTACAAGCATGAGAACCGCGCCCCAGCCTAAGGGTAGATTTACCAGTTCTTTCGGACCAAGGAAAGAAGAGCAGGAAAACTCGTTAGGCTGAGAAAAAAATGGAGGAGACAGAAGGCATATTTATTATAGATCAGAGAGGCAGGTAGAGCAAGATCAGAGGGGCTGTTGAATAATATGCTAGAAATACGGATTTTATGCTAAGGCTTAGAGAAGCCTTTATTTTATTTATTATTTTTTTGAGATGGAGTCTTGCTCTGTTGCCCAGGCTGGAGTACAGTGATACGGCCTCGGCTCACTGCAACCTCCACCTCCTGGGTTTAATTGATTCTCCTGCCTCAGTCTCCCGAGTAGATGGGATTATAGGTGCCCGCCACCACACCCAGCTAATTTTTGTATTTTTAATAGAGACGGGGTTTCTCCATGTTGGTCAGGCTGGTCTCTAAATCCTGACCTCAGGTGATCCACCGCCTCAGCCTCCCAGAGTGCTGGAATTACAGGCGTGAGCCACCGCACCCAGCCAGGCAAGCCTTTAATGAGAGGTCACGTATCCAGATTTGCATTCTGGGAAGATCATGGGGATAAAAGGGTAAAGAATGGACTGGAGAGGGACAACACTGGGGGCAGGGAGATCAGTGAGGAGACTGTTAGAGCAGTCAAAGCAAGAAGCGACTAAGGCCTGATGGGATTGGAAGATTGCTGTGATATGGAGCAGGTGGAGGAGCAAGGAGCAGCCTAGACTCTGGGGTTTTTGGCACAGGGTGACTGGATGGATAAGGGTGCTGTTGCTGACTTAGGGAATGCACAGAGAGGGAATTTTTGAATTTGAGATCTCTGCAGGACATCGAGGAAAGACATGCAGAAAACAAATCTATTGCCCATGAGGTGTTCCTCCTTTGCCCTCTTACTGGAACATCATGAGCAAGCAACCACTCGCAAGGGCAGTCACGGGTGAGATCTCTTAGGCAGTGTGGAGGGTGAGAAGGAGACAAAAGATGGCCATGAGCCATCTTACAGGTGTGGGCCACCATGCCCGACCGAAATTAGTAGAATTTAAAATAACGTAACTTAATGCTAGCAGAGTAGAAAGGAAGTACAAGTGAGCTCAATTCTTCATCTTTTATAGCAGGGAATCAATAGATACTACAAGCACATTAGAATTCTGTGAGAACAAAGAAAACAGGACAGTTTTAAAGGTTGTTACATTTGGAATATGGCAATGGGAGTAGGATGGGCAGGAAACATTTAGTTCTCTTTTTACGGTTGTTTTCTGTACTCTGTGCAGGTATTACTCGTATACTTTCTGAAAGCTTGTAAAGATGGTCCACTCTACTCTGGTTAAGAAAGGAAGGACAGGCCAGGCACAGTGGCTCACACCTGTAATCCTAGCACTTTGGGAGGCCGAGGTGGGTGGATCACCTGAGGTCACGAGTTTGAGACCAGCCTGACCAACATGGGGAAACCCCAGCTCTACTAAAAATAAAAAATCGACTGGGTATGGTGGCAGGTGCCTATAATCCCAGCTACTCAGGAGACTGAGGCAGGAGAATCGTTTGAACCCGGGAGGCGGAGGTTGTGGTGAGACCAAATGGCGCCACTGCACTCCATCCTGGACAACAAGAGCAAAACTCCGTCTCAAAAAAAAAAAAAAAACAGGAAGGAAGGACAGAGGGACTAGCAACTGTTACCATGGCTTCCCTGCCTTTCTCAAAGGGCAGTCTCACCAAACCACCTATGAGTGCAAGCGTTTGGACCTTTACCACCAGGATTAACTCATTTGTGGATGCATTCGCCTCCTGATCATGGTCCTGTTGCCCCACAGGTTCGGGGTGAGGGCACTGGCCTGCTGGGCTCATTATCCCTGCCCCTCTCAGAGCTCCTCGTGGCTGACCAGCTCTGCTTGGACCGCTGGTTTACACTCAGCAGTGGTCAGGGGCAGGTGCTACTGAGAGCACAGCTAGGGGTGAGTGACAGGAAATGATGGGCAGGATGAGAGGGAGGAGGGGAGGGCCTTCACAGCTGAGGGACACCCAGGAGGGTGGGAACAGAGGGCTGTGTCCTTAGACTGAGGGAACTGAGAGAACTCTGCCTAGCTCACAGCTTTCTTGCCCCTAGATCCTGGTGTCCCAGCACTCAGGAGTGGAAGCTCATAGCCACAGCTACAGCCACAGCTCCTCATCCCTGAGTGAAGAACCAGAGCTCTGGGGGGGACCCCCTCACATCACCTCCTCAGCCCCAGAGCTCCGGCAGCGCCTCACACATGTTGACAGGTAAAGGGCTGGTACAGGAAGGTGGGATGCAGTCAGAAATAAAAAGTATTACAGGTTCACTAGGCTCTAGCTTTTCCCAGATCTACTGATATTTCTCCACAGTCCCCTTGAAGCTCCAGCCGGGCCTCTGGGCCAGGTGAAACTGACTGTGTGGTACTACAGTGAAGAACGAAAGCTGGTCAGCATTGTTCATGGTTGCCGGTGAGACCCCATCCCTTCCCTCCCGTCCTCCAGGTCACCTCCATCCCTTCCCTCAGGTCACCGTATCAGCTACCTCCTCCTGTTGTAGGGCCCTTCGACAGAACGGACGCGATCCTCCCGATCCCTATGTGTCCCTGTTGCTGCTGCCAGACAAGAACCGAGGCACCAAGAGGAAGACCTCCCAGAAGAAGCGGACCCTGAGTCCCGAATTTAATGAACGGTCAGTCAGCGGGCGTTCGGGTGGAGGGACGGCAGCCTCGGAAAGGACTCCTGGCCCCTAACACCCAGTCCTACCCCAGGTTTGAGTGGGAACTCCCCCTGGATGAGGCCCTGAGACGAAAGCTGGATGTCTCTGTCAAGTCTAATTCCTCCTTCATGTCAAGAGAGCGTGAGCTGCTGGGGAAGGTAAGAGGGCAGGATGGCAGGGCAGAGGTGAGGGCTGGAAGCTGCTGGTACCAAGGTTATAGTCCCTGTGAGGAAGGAAGTACCCCAGGTGATCCTTTAGAGGTGACTCTGTCACCTCTGCAATGGTTTGCGACGAGTATGTGATGAAGGAGTAAGGTCTTTGGAGATTTCAAAACGGCATCATCAGAATGAGATCCTGTCTCAAAAAGATAACATCTTTCCCCCACCATCCTCCAACACAGGTGCAGTTGGACCTAGCTGAGACAGACCTTTCCCAGGGTGTAGCCCGGTGGTGAGTGTCTGCGTGGGTGGGGGTGGTCTGGATATTTCAGTGGGAGAAATTCCAATCATAGGAAAGGAAAAAAAGATACAATCTGAGCAGAGAACCATTGATTCTATGAAGTAGAGAAGCCCTTGGATCGTGTGTCATTTATAAATAAGATGACACAAGAGTCATCTTTCTATATGAGCCCTCTCGTTTTCACAGGTATGACCTGATGGACGACAAGGACAAGGGCAGCTCCTAGGAGCTGGCGAGTCCCAGCCTGACTCTGCTCTGTCTTCCTGCCTTCGTCTCGCTCTGTCACCGCCTCAATGTGATGAGCCCAAAGCTAGGGTCCAAGGGCAGAGCCTGTGCCCTTCAGCCCTTTCACCTAACAGGCCCATATTCGGGCCTTTGACCAAAGAGAAGAACCGTATGTTCCCTTTACTGCACGGCCTTTATCCTTCTGGGCCCCTGGGGTGTGGACCTGAGCTGGCTGTTTCCTGCTCTGCCTGCACATTGTTCTCCCTTCCTCCCAACTCCTCAGGGCCTCCAGTATCTGTGCCTGGCCACTGGCAGCACTAGCAGTGGTATTAGCTTATGCCAAATACAGCTTTGAAAGGATCTTTGTTTCTTTAACTAGATGGTCACCTTCTTCTGTACCACACATGGGTGGGAAGGTGGACAGGCTAACCTCTCCAGCTGTGAGTCTCTTAGACTACTGCATGTAGCAAATGTTCAGCAGCTCAGGCCCCCATGTCCAGTTCTGTCCCCACTCTTCTCAACCCTGTCCTGAAAATTCTACTGCTCTGATGGCTGGGGCCAGTCTCTTGTCACTTTGGAAGCTGGGGACACTTGGATTCTACCCAAGCCTCCAAGTAGTGGCATATCAGTTTTGGAGCTCCTAGCTGGTGATACACAGAGGGCTTTGGAGGACTTGGGACAGCTGGGCCAATTTTTTTTGCCCAAGTGCCTAGGCTGCTAACTCACTGACTAGAACTGAATCTGGTACTCTTTAGTTTTGCACCAACTCTGCCAAGCCACTGTATCTTACATTAAACATCATACTTAAACCAGCTGTGGTTCTTTTCCTTAAGGATAGGGAATCAATCTACCCATCTGATGTTTATTCCAACTGTCAAAAGCCTTTATCCAATTCGTGAATCGTGTCAGTTTAATTAATGGTCAAAGCCTACTAAGGTTGCAGCCACCAAGAATGTTGAGGATGGTCACGAGACCTGTGTAAAGTAGCTGCTGTTGCATTTCAGGTGAGACTCATTTCCAGTCACAGTGATGAACTCTGTTACCCATCCAACTTGTCTGCTGACCACTATGGGCTTTCTAGGGAAGGGATTCCTAAACCTGGTAAACCTGGGAGCTCTGTGCCACTGCCCAGGCTCCTGGTGTCTCCGTGCCATCAGGGCATGCTCAGGTACATTCAAAAGGGCTTCAGGCCCATCTGACAGGAGCTACACCCATTTCCATCATCTGTTCACTCTGAACTCTGCTCCTTGCAGGAACTTTCCTGGAGTGCAAGCTAGAGAAGCTGTGCTCCATCTGTTCTGCCAGTTGAAAGGAGAGAGATGGACAGAGTGAACTGCTGAAGACAGGGTCACTGGCATAGGAACGTGGGGATTTCATAACTGCCTCAGGGAGACTACCATCTTCTCTGGAAAAATACAAACCTCAGGATGCTGCCCACCGGGAGATGAGGGAAGACTCAGGGGAAAGGATTAAGCTCAGTTCCACAAGTTGTCAAAATTTGCTTAATTAGCAAAAACTGAATTTAAACTCCACATCGTCCACAAACTCAACCTCTATGTTTTCAGTGACCCTTTTGTATTCACTGCTGGTTCCTCTGCCATCTCCACTTCCTTCCCATCAACGTAAGAGGACCCCAGGCCTTGGCTATGAGCAAGAAGGTCTTATTTGCTCCATTCCCCAACTCCAGCTCTAGAATCATAGGGGGAAAAACTCCAAAAACAGAGCAGAGAAACTTAATTTTTAAGGTCTCTTGTCAAATTTCTAGATACTGGCCGGGTGCGGTGGCTCACGCCTGTAATCCCAGCACTTTGGGAGGCTGAGGTGGGCAGATCACGAGGTCAGGAGATTGAGACCATCCTGGCTAACACAGTGAAACCCCGTCTCTACTAAAAAGACAAAAACTTAGCCGGGCGTGGTGGCGGGCGCCTGTAGTCCCAGCTACTCGGGAAGCTGAGGCAGGAGAATGGCGTGAACCCAGGAAGTGGAGCTTGCAGTGAGCCGAGATGGTGCCACTGCACTCCAGCCTGGGCAACAGAGCAAGACTCTGTCTCAAAAAAAAAAAAAATTCTAGATACTAGCTGGGCATGCAGCCCAAGGCCTGCTGTTCTAGCTGGCTTCAGATAATACAACCTAGGATTTTGCAATATGTGATTTTAAGAAACATTCTTGAGCTAATTTATCACTTCAAGTAATTACATTTCCAGGAAACTAGAGGACATGGCACAAATTCTCCCATCCCAGAAGGGTCCCTACTCTTTCCTAACCTTTTTGAGTTCAATATATATATATAAGGGAAGAGGTACTAGTCTACATATTAAATACAAGATGATGGCTAAGTGTGATGGCTCATGCCTGTAATGCCAACACTTAGGGAGGCCGGCCGAGGCAGAGGATCCACAGAAAACCCCCACCCTTAGAAATCATTAGCCAGTCTTGGTGGTATGCACCTGTAGTCCCAGCTATTCAGGAGTCTGAGGCAGGAGGATCGCTTGAGCCCAGGAGTTCAAGGTCATAGTGAGCTAGGCTCGTGCCACTCTACTCTGCCCTGGGTGACAGAGTGAGACCTTGTCTCCAAAAAAAGAAAGAAAAAAAAAGCAAGATGATGACAACCAGATCCAAAAAAAAAAAAAATACATACAAGATGAAACACAAAACACAATCGCACTTTTATATATGAAGATGGAACACATTTTAAGGGTCATTAATCACATGAATTAAATATACTTCTGTCATTTCTCAAACAGCTGACTTTTGACACACATACACAATGCATACCTTTTCCAGAGAAAGATATGACTGTATATGGTTATGCGATCACTGATGTTTGCAAATACTATCCTCTTGGAATGTGTTTTTATTGGACCAAACGACATGCTGTAGTTAACTAGGTGTGGCAACACAGTTGTCTACCCAACAGCCATTTCCCCTCTTCCCTACATACAGAATCCCAGAATGTCCCTGGTGGCAGTATGCCAGCCCCAAAAATTAATCAAGATACCCTTTGCTGAATAATCACTTTCCCTTGCAACTTGAAATGACCCTGACCCAGTCGTTTCTAACATCTAACAAGATGTTAGAGGAAGTCAGTTGGGGATTGTAGTATCTAAAGAAGAAAGCCTTCATTGCCCCTTCCTTTCTGTGTAGGTCATTGGTATGAGGATACTATGTCTGGAACTGCAGCAGCCTTTTTTTTTTTTTTTTTTTTCTGAGAGAGTTTCGCTCTTCTCACATAGGCTGGAATGCAATGGCGTGGTCTCAACTTGCAGCAACCTCCACCTCCTGGGTTCAAACAATTTTCCTGCCTCACCCTCCTGAGTAGCTAGGATTACAGGCACCTGCCACCATGCCCGGCTAATTTTTGTATTTTTAGTAGAGACAGGGTAATCCCAGCACTTTGGGAGGCCGAGGCTGGTGATCACCTGAGCTCAGGAGCCTGACCAACATGGCAAAACCCCGTCTCTATTAAAAAAACAAAAAAATTTGGCCAGGCAAAGTGGCTTATGCCTGTAATCCCAACACTTTGGGAGGCCGAGGCGGGAGGATCACAAAGTCAGGAGATCGAGACCAGCCTGGCCAATATGGTGAAACCCAGTCTCTACTAAAAATACAACAACAACAACAAAAAATTGGCTGGTGGTGCATGCCTGTAATCCCAGCTACTCGGGAGGCTGAGGAAGGAGAATTGCTTGAACTCAGGAGGCAGAGGTTGCAGCGAGCCAGGATTGTGCCACTGCACTCCAGTCTGGGCGACAGAGCAAAACTCCATCTCAAAAAAAAAAAAAAAAAATTAGCCTGGCGTGATGGTGCTGGGATTGCACCACTGCACTCCAGCCTGGGTGACAAGAGTGAGAGTCTGTCTCAAAAAAAAAAAAAAAAAAAAAAAACTATAACAACTAAATATAAGAAATAGCAGCCGGGCACGGTGGCTCAAGCCTGTAATCCCAGCACTTTGGGAGGCTGAGACGGGCGGATCACGAGGTCAGGAGATTGAGACCATCCTGGCTAACATGGTGAAACTCCGTCTCTACTAAAAAATACAAAAAACTAGCCAGGCGAGGTGGCGGGCGCCTGTAGTCCCAGCTACTCGGGAGGCTGAGGCAGGAGAATGGCGTGAACCCGGGAGGCGGAGCTTGCAGTGAGCTGAGATCCGGCCACTGCACTCCAGCCCGGGCAACAGAGCAAGACTCCGTCTCAAAAAAAAAAAAAAAGAAAGAAAGAAATAGCCAGGGATGGTGGCCCACGAATCTGAGGTTTCAGTGAGCTATGATTGTGCCACTGTATCCAGAGCCTGGTCAACAGAGCAAGCCCCTGTTTCTGGGGGGGAAAGGAAAGGAAATGTATACAAAGGATGGGCACAATGGCTCACGCCTGTAATCCCAACACTTTAGGAGGCCAAGGAAGGTGGATCACCTGAGGTCAGGAGTTCGAGACCAGCCTGGCCGACATGGCAAAACCTTATCCCTACTAACAATACAAAAAAAAAATTAGCCAGGTGTGGTGGCACACACCTGTAATCCCAGCTACTTGGGAGGCTGAGGCATGAGAATCACTTGAACCCAGGAGGTGAGGTGGAGGTTGCAGTGAGCTGAAATGCACCACTGCACTCCAGCCTGGAGGACAGAGAAGACCCTTGTCTCCCAAACAAAACACAAAAAGGAATGTATACTGAATAAACACGCTTGAAGAGAGCAGCTAAAGGGCCCTAATCTCCTTCTGCTTCTCTTCCTCTCAACCTTTTCCACTGTGCTCTCTGGGAGCCTTTTCCACATAACACTTCCCACCCATTCCACCTTTTTTTTTTTTTTTTTGAGGGGGGTACAGAATTTCGCTCGTTGCCCAGGCTGGAGTGCAATGGTGTGATCGAGGCTCACTGCAACTTCCACCTCCCGGGTTCAAGCGATTCTCCTGCCTCAGCCTTCCTGAGTAGGTGGGATTACAGGCATGCACCATCACACCTGGCTAATTTTGTATTTTTAGTAGAGACAGGGTTTCTCCATGTTGGTCAGGCTGGTCTCCAATTCCTGACCTCAGATGATCCACCTGCCTTGGCCTCCCAAAGTGCTAGGATTACAGGCATGAGCCACTGCGCTTGGCCATTCTTTTTTTTTTTTTTTTTAGATGGAGTCACCCTCTGTTGCCCAGGCTGGAGTGCTGTGACACAATCTCGGTTCACTGCAACCTCCACCTCCTGGGATTCTCATGCCTCAGCCTCCCAAGTAGCTGAGATTACAGGTGCCTGCCACCATGCTGGGCTAATTTTTGTATTTTTAGTAGAGACAGGGTTTTACCATGTTGGTCACACTGGTCTCAAACTCCTGACCTCAGATGATCCACCTTCCTTGGCCTCCCAAAGTGTTGGGATTACAGGAATGAGCCACTGTGCCCGGCCTGCTTTTAAAAAAAATTTTTTTGGCCGGGCGCGGTGGCTCAAGCCTGTAATCCCAGCACTTTGGGAGGCCGAGACGGGCGGATCACGAGGTCAGGAGATCGAGACCATCCTGGCTAACACGGTGAAACCCCGTCTCTACTAAAAAATACAAAAAACTAGCCGGGTGAGGTGGCGGGCGCCTGTAGTCCCAGCTACTCGGGAGGCTGAGGCAGGAGAATGGCGTAAACCTGGGAGGCGGAGCTTGCAGTGAGCTGAGATCCGGCCACTGCACCCCAGCCTGGGCGGCAGAGCAAGACTCGTCTCAAAAAAAAAAAAAAAAAAAAAATCATAAACCCTGCCCTTACTGAGTATTCTTGCCTTTCCCCGCAGGGTAGACTTCAATTGTCCTCCAGGTTCCTTCCCTGTGGTAAGTCCTGGGTCAGGACTTACCCCAGGGGATAATGTCCTGGGGACCCACCATCATGTCTCACCACTACCCAAGCACAGACATGGCTTCTGTTCATAAATTCCTATTAAATATTTCTAAGAAAGTGGATTTGGGCCGGGCGTGGTGGCTCAAACCTGTAATCCCAGCACTTTGGGAGGCCAAGACAGGTGGATCACAAGGTCAGCAGATCGAGACCATCCTGGCTAACACGGTGAAACCCCGTCTCTACTAAAAAATACAAAAAAACTAGCCCAGTGAGATGGCGGGCACCTGTAATCCCAGCTACTCGGAGGCTGAGGCAGGAGAATGACGTAAACCCGGGAGGCGGAGCTTGCAGTGAGCTGAGATCACACCACTGCACTCTAGCCTGGGCGACAGAGCAAGACTCTGTCTCAAAAAAAAAAAGAAAAAAAGAAAGTGGATTTGTCAGCCTCCTTCCTCAACCTCTTAGCTTCCTTGGACTTTGGGGGTAAGTGTGCATAGACCTGTGCATTGCGGAACAGCTCCCCAATGGCTTTCCATGTTCTTTCAATCTAACAGGCCACTTTGGATAGCTGAACATGTGGAGGTTCCTGAAGGATGGCATGCCTAGGGAAGGCAAGGAAGCTCCAGACTTACCTCCCTCCCTGCCCACACAATGCAATCTCTAAGAATATATGGGCTAGTCGAGGTAGGTCATGCCTATAATCCCAGCACTTTGGGAGGCACCTGAGATGGGAAGATCCTTTAAGCTCAGGAGTTTGAGACTGGGTAACACAGTGAGACCTCATTTCTAGAAAAAAACAAAATCAAAGAAAAATAAGAATATACAAATCACATGCTAAGTGGGGAAGGAAGATAGGAGAGACAGGCATTTCTCACAGATAATTCACATATATAATCACCCTATGCCCAGTTAAGACCACGTTTAGTCCAGTTTATGTTATTTATGATCAAGACAGGGATGGCACAGAAAATGAAGGATAGCCTTCCAATCTCTCCAAGGGTCTTAATGGTTTTTCCCTGTACTACTTCTCTATAGAAAATGCTAGAAAGTCGCGGGCATGGTGGCTCACACCTGTAATCCCAGCACTTTGGGAGGCCGACGCGGGCGGATCACAAGGTCAGGAGATCGAGGCCATCCTGGCTAACACAGTGAAACCCTGTCTCTACTAAAAATATATCAAAAAAATTAGGCCGGGCGCGGTGGCTCAAGCCTGTAATCCCAGCACTTTGGGAGGCCGAGGCGGGCGGATCACAAGGTCAGGAGATCAAGACCACAGTGAAACCCCGTCTCTACTAAAAATACAAAAAATTAGCCGGGCACGGTGGCGGGCGCCTGTAGTCCTAGCTACTCAGGAGGCTGAGGCAGGAGAATGGCGTGAACCCGGGAGGCGGAGCTTGCAGTGAGCCGAGATCGCGCCACTGCACTCCAGCCTGGGCAACAGCGTGAGACTCCGTCTCAAAAAAAAAAAAAAAAAAAAAAAAAAAAAAAAAAAAAAAAATTAGCCCGGGTGTTGGCGGATGCCTGTAGTCCCAGCTACTAGGGAGGCTGAGGCAGGAGAATGGCGTGAACCCAGGAGGCGGAGCTTGCAGTGAGCTGAGATCACACCACTGCACTCCAGCCTGGGCCACAGTAAGACTCCGCCTCAAAAAAAAAAAAAAGAAAAAAAGAAAAGAAAATGCTAGAAAGTCAGCTGATGCCATAACCACTCATACTTGGCAAAATGCCAAAAGTGGGAAAAGGAAAGAAAAAAAAAATTACAAGGGCCATATCTTTGAAACCAATGTCTGCAAGAGTGATAGAAGCCACACAATGGCATCCATAATGTGGCCCTTTCCCAGTCTCATAACCACTTAAAAATGTATTCCTTCTTCCTCTCCGTCTCTTCACAACACCTATTGGTCCTCACTTCATTGATGTAAAAATGGGTAAAATATCAGCGACCTCATGCCTTGGGAAGATTAAAGGAAAGTTATTTAACAAACACTTATACAGCACTTACGCTGTGCCAGGCCTATTCTAATTTACAAACTTTGTGGTTTTTTTTTTTTTTTTTGAGATGGAGTCTCACTCTGTCACCCAGGCTGGAGTGCAGTGGCGGAATCTCGGCTCACTGCAACCTCCCGGGTTTAAGTGATTCTCCTACCTCAGCCTCCCAAGTAGCTGAGGTGACAGGCGCCTGCCACCTCGCCCGGCTATTTTTTTGGTTTTTTTGTATTTTTAGTAGTGACAGGGTTTCACCATGTTGGCCAGGCTGGTCTCGAACTCCTGACCTCAGGTGACCAGCCTGCCTCACCTCCCAAAGTGCTGGGACTACAGGCGTGAGCCACCAAGCCCGGCCCTATTTTACCAATAATAACACTTCGAATCCTCCTAAGAGCCCTATGAGGCAGGTACCATTATCATTATTTTACAGATGAGGAACTGAGGCCCAGGAGAGACAACTAAACCTGCTGAGGGCCACTAACCAGCACCTGGTAGAACCAGGATTCAAATATGAGCAGGCTCGTCTGAACCCCATGCACTTGAGCACCCTCTGAGATAATTTAACCCCTTCATCGGTAGCAGATCTATGGTGGCCTCCAGAAATGGTTGCTAACTTACTATCATCGTTATTTCTGTCGTACAATTCATTTCTACCTTTCCAATAAACTTTCCCGAACCAGTGAACCTTACTTACTGCCCATAAAGTTCACCTGTGCCTCACCACCCTGCCCTCGCCCGAGTTTTCTACTCTGACCGAATCCTCACACGCCAGTGCAGCCCCAGCCTCCAACACCAGGTGCACCGCCAGTGTATTTACTGATCCAGTGAATGAAGGTGGGCCCGGCCGGGCTGGTTCCCATCCTCTGATCAACGCCTAGGGGAACCAGTAAACTCCAATGCTGACCATAAGTGTCTCAGAAAGTAGGTCTGGAAAGCCCAGCCCTCCGCTCAGGAACCTATGAAGACCGGGGAGGATAGCGCATATGCGGCCGCAGGATGGAAACCTCGATCAGAAGGCTGGGGCAGGTGACTGGGCTTAATTGCAAATTTTAACATTTACTTCAGCAACCAGTTCATTAAAAACAAACTACTCTGAGGCCTCTTTTTTTCCTACCAAACCCAAGAGGAAGCGAAAAAGAGCGCAGCCGCTCTCCCTGGGGCCGTAAGTGCTTCCAGCTATCTGACCTCCACGCTGCCTGCTGCAGCCTCAACCTTTCCCCTGGTTCGGAGTTCTTTCAGCAGTAGGTCCAGGAAAACACCTGCCCCGCTCCCCACCGCCCCCCCCCCCACCGCCTCCCGAGACTAGGAGCCCGCCAGGGCTAAGTAGGAGGGATACCCTAGGGACCCTGCAGGGTTTTAGGGTTGGGGTGGATTGGAAATTGTTCATTGCCTTTCAGTTCCGGGACATGGAAGGACACTGAGTCACCAAACGCCGCCATGGGCCGGAAGCCACCGCCCTAGCCTCAGCTGCAATCTAGAGCGCGGCGTATCCCGTGAGCCCACTGGGGACTACGACTCCCGGCATGCTCCGCGGCCGTCGGAATTAACCCTTCAGGGCTGGGGGGCCGCGCTGTGCACCGCCCCCTCCCCAGCCACAGACGCGGACCCCGCAGGGTGAGTTTTGGGGGGCTGAGGAGAGCCGCTTTCTTTAAGGTTTAGTGGGGTGTGTGAGAGTGTGTGTGTGTGTGTGTGTGTGTGTGTCTGTGTGTGATGTATTTTGTAAAAATGGGACAGTTTGCAGTAATGAGATTCAGACACTGTTTTGCGAATGGGAGACCCAGCATCAACCCCGGGGCCTAAGTGGAGTCACTGCTATCTTCCTCAGAATGCTACCTAAATCCTTTCCTAATTTCCCCCAGAACAAAAGTAGGCCGCAACCCCTCCCCACTCCCAAACACCCCCCAACTTGGACTCTCTCCCAGTGCCCCCGGCAAGGTTTGTGACCTGGCCCCTGAGTCGGGATTTTTATTATACCCCTGGTAGTGGGATGAATACTCATGGAGGCCATAGGAGTGCCCACATCCTCTTGGATTAGGGAATTTAAGCCTTCTCCCAGAGCCCGCCCTTCTCGGGTGCCACCACAGGGTCCCCACAGGTTCAGCAAGCGCCCTACCTTTTGTTTGTGTTGAATGACAGTGGTCTTGTGGAAGAAGGTTCCTTCCATGGAAGAATGGGTAGCAGATGTTAAACCTGATCTTTGCCCCCACTCCTTCCCCTAAAACAACACTGCGCACTAGGAGACAATGAGGGATGTCACACTCCTGTTTCTATGACTATTCTTCCTTTATACTGTGAATAGTTTCAATTCTTGGCTGGGTGCGGGCTCAGGAACTACAAGTATTAGGGATTATTAGACTGTAGGGTTAACTACCCCTGCTCTTTACAAAGCCATGGTCAGAAAGGAGTGGAGGGGCTGGGCAGATGGGCTGCTTGTTTTTGTCATTGCTCCCAGACCACACTTTAACTTGTTCCAGTTCACACAAGCCTCCCTGACTGCTACCCCTCACCCCACCCTTCGAGAAGACTAAAGCTGCTGGATCACCTGCTTTGCCTCACCACCCCCATCTCAGTGCAAGCATCCTATCCTCACCCTGGAGGTTAACTACCTCTCATTCTGGGCAGTCCCTGGCTTCCTCCCCTACCCTCAAAGGAAACATTGTTCTTTTCTGGACAGCCTTTGGGGATGAGGGGACAGAGGGAAGAAGACCTTGGGGCAGGAGTCCTGAACCATAGGAGGCCAGGGGAGTGAGGGCAGACGGTTATATCTCTCCTCTACCTCATCCTCGCCACAGCCAACTGGCTCCCTGCCCCTGCCCCCGCCCCTTGACATCCCAGACTCCCTGGCTATTTAAACAGAGATGGGTGCCCCCATCCGCACACTGTCCTTTGGCCACCGGACATCATGCCTCCCAAGAAGGATGTTCCCGTGAAGAAACCAGCAGGGCCCTCCATCTCCAAACCTGCTGCTAAGCCAGCAGCAGCAGCAGGGGCTCCTCCAGCCAAGAGCAAAGCTGAGCCAGCTGTCCCCCAGGCCCCTCAGAAAACCCAGGAGCCTCCAATCGATCTCTCCAAAGTGGTGGTGAGTCTCTGGAAAGTGAAGATAATTGGAGGGGGTGGTTTGAGGGTGAGATACAGCTTAGGGGATTAGGGGGTATCTAGAAGGTAGGGAATCAATGAACCCTGGAATGAGATTGGGGCTTTCCCTTAGTCCCCCATTTGGAAGCATCCAGGCTTATGACTCTGCTGTTGTCTTTGCTGTTCTCTCCCTCTAACCTATAACCATGTGTGTACAGCACATGCACACTCACTTACCCCCTGCTGGAGGCAGGGACTCTTAGATGGGGAACATCTGGGTTCTGAGGACAGTTTCAAGGTGAAGGGAAAAGAGCTGTTGCCTGCCCCTGGCTGGTGATTCAACTCAAAAGGCCTGCAGCTCTGAACTCCAGGAAGGGAGGCTGAAGAGGACAGACTTGTTAGACAATCACAGCTGGGGGCCAGGGGTAAATTTAGCCTTTGTTCAGCCCCCAGTTATGTGAGGGATGCAGGGCTCAGGGCAATGGAGGGAGGGAAACAGGTGGCATGGGATTAACCCTGTTCCCAGGAAACCCTCCCCACTGTAATTCCTCTTCTTGGGATTCTCCCAAGGCCCAGAGCTGGGAATGGGACTGAGGTGGCTGGGCTTCCAGCCTGGTCCCTTTGGGCCCCTCCTCAGAAGTGGCTGCCAGTTGGTTGGGAAGAGTGCTGGAGAGGGACTGAATAAACTGTCATCTCTCCCCACCTGCTTTTTTCTTCCACAGATCGAGTTTAACAAGGACCAGCTGGAGGGTGAGGAGAAGCTGGTCTAAGCCCACTGTCCAGTCCCCAATCCCCTGGTCAGATTCTCTTTCTATTCCCCTAACCCCAGTCCCGACCTTGAAACCTCCCATACTAGTCCTCTTTTCCTCCCTTGTTCTGTTCACATAGTTTCTGAAATTCCCTTCTGTCTGGGGGTGATGGGAACCCCTAGTCAGTGTCTACACTGACCCTTCCTTATACCTTAGAGTTCAAGGAGGCCTTCGAGCTGTTTGACCGAGTGGGGGATGGCAAGATCCTGTACAGCCAGTGTGGGGACGTGATGAGGGCCCTGGGCCAGAACCCCACCAACGCCGAGGTGCTCAAGGTCCTGGGGAACCCCAAGAGTGATGGTGAGGGGACCCTTGGAACAATTTGGGTTTTTAGTTTTCAAAAGTTGAATGTTGGTAACAAAGAATGAGGTGGATCTCAGGACTTCAAAAACTGTCAAACACAGAAGCAGGAAAATATCCTAAATGCTGAACAGGATGAAAGCATTGTGGTAGGGTTGGGAGCCGGGTCCTATGTGATACTACAGTGACCTCTCCTTCATCTCTCTCCAACCTCCAGAGCTGAAGTCCCGGCGTGTGGACTTTGAAACTTTCCTGCCCATGCTCCAGGCAGTGGCCAAGAACCGGGACCAAGGCACATATGAGGACTACTTGGAGGGGCTTCGTGTGTTTGACAAGGAGGGGGACGGCAAAGTCATGGGAGCAGAGCTCAGACATGTTCTCACCACCCTCGGTGAGGCAGGCAAGGGGGACCAGAACTACTTTAGAGTGGAGAGGGGAATGGGGTGGGCCAGAAAAAAGACTGGCCAGATAAGCAGAGCCAGCAGGAGGATTACTATCCTGCAGGTTGTCGGCAGGAGACTGAGAAGGTCAGAGCTGTGGGGGTAGAATCTGAAGGTCTTGCTCTTCCAGAGTCTAAAGTGCCTTCCAGAGGACAGAGGAAAAGGGATGAGGCAGGAAATCTGAATTTTCATTTTGGAAGAGACGTGTGGGTTGTGTGTTCTGGTACAAGTCTCTTAACCTCCTGGAATTGTTTCCTTGTCAGTCAATACTTTCACCAGTACTAGGGTGAAATGGAAAGCAAGAGGCATCTATGACTAGGGAAGATTCCCTTGAGAACTGAGGCTATGAGAAATCGTCAGGGTGGGAGACTCTAAAGAGTGTGGCCTGGCCAGGTGCGGTGGCTCACGCCTCTAATCCCAGCATTTTGGGAGGCCAAGGCGGGCGGATCACCTGAGCCCAGGAGTTCAAGACCAGCCTGGCCAACAGGGTGAAACCCCGTCTCTATTAGTAATACAAAAATTAGGTGGGCATGGTGGCACGTGCCTATAGTCCCAGCTACCCAGGAGGCTGAGGCAGAAGAATCGCTGGAACCCGGGAGTCTGAGGTTGCAGTGAGCCAAGATCACACCACTGCACTCCAGCCTGGGCGACAAAGCGAGACTCCGTCTCAAAAAAAAAAAAAAAAGGCCGGGCACGGTGGCTGAAGCCTGTAATCCCAGCACTTTGGGAAGCCGAGGTAGGCAGATCACTTGAGGTCAGGAGTTCGAGACCAAGACCAGCGTGGCCAACATGGTGAAACCTCATCTCTACTAAAAACACAAAAATTAGCCGGGCATGATGGTGGGTGCCTGTAATTCCAGCTTCTCGGGAGGCTAAGGCAGGAGAATCACTTTAACCCGGGAGGTGGAGGTTGCAGTGAGCTGAGACCGTGCCACTGCACTCCAGCCTGGGCGATAGAGCAAGACTCAGTTTAAAAAAACAAAAAACAGCATGGCCTGGCCGGGCGCAGTGGCTCACTCCTATAATCCTAGCACTTCAGGAGGCCAAGGCAGGAGGATCACTTGAGCCCAGGAGTTTGAGACCAGCCTGGGCAACATAGTGAGATTCTCTATTTAAAAAAAAAAAATTACAAGGCCAGGCGTGGTGGCTCACACCTGTAATCTCAGCATTTTGGGAGGCAGAAGTGGGCAGATCATTTGAGCTCAGGAGTTTGAGACCAGCCTGAGCAACATGGCAAAACCATGTCTCTACAAAAAAATAAAAAAATTAGCTAGGCGTGGTGGTGTACACTTGTAGTCCCAGCTACTTCGAAAGCTGATGTGAATCACTGGAGCCCAGGAGGTGGAAGTTGCAGTGAGCCATGATGATGTCACTGCATTCCAGCTGGGTGACAGAGGGAGACCCTATCTAAAAAAAAAAAAAAAATTACAATTGTTATGTTCATATTATTGTTTACAAAAATATATGGAAAAAGCCAGGGGCAGTGGCTCATGCCTGTAATCCCAGCACTTTGGGAGGCTGAAGCAAGTGTATGACCTGAGGTCAAGAGTTTGAGAGCAGCCTGCCCAACATGGTGAAAACTCATCTCTACCAGAAATACAAAAAATTAGCGGTGAACCTGTAGTCCCAGCTACTCGGGAGGCTGAGGCAGGAGAATCGCTTAAACACGGGAGGCGGAGGTTGCAGTGAGCCGAGACTGCTCCACTGCACTCCAGCCTGGGTAACAGGAGCGAAACAACGTCTCGGAAAAAAGCATTGCCTGGGTGAGTGAAGGAGGGAAAGCAGGGACTCAGACGTTGTGTCTGGGATTCAGGAGAGAAGATGACTGAGGAGGAGGTGGAGACTGTTCTGGCAGGACATGAGGACAGCAACGGCTGCATCAACTACGAGGGTGAGGGGCCAAAAAAGCAGGAGCGGGGCCGGGGGAGGAGGGGAGCCCGGCGTCTTGCCGCGTGTGGGCGGGGGCACCCCTGAATTATCTAGAGTCAGATGTATTATCCAGAGGCCTGCTTCTGAAGCCCCTCTTGCCTCCTCTCTTTGCAGCCTTCTTGAAACACATCCTAAGCGTCTGAGTGCTACAGGTAGGGCCTTCCCACCCCTTCACCGCGCCTTAAGAGGCAAGTCTCCCGCGCTTCTCAGCCAGCATAGAAAAGCAGCGGAGTTCGTTCTGCTGTCCGGTTGCTGCGCGGGCTCCAGCGCTTGGCAACTTTCGTTTTTTTCCACAGATCCAGTGGGGTCCGGACACTGGGCCCCGCGGGCGGAAGCACGTTCCAGCCACCAGGAGGCCACCTATTGTTTCAAAATAAAGACTGGGTTCCTCTCTTCGTTTCAGACTATTTTTTTCATGGTTGGGGGAGCAAGGGGAGACGGGGAGGGTGCTAGGAGGAGAGGGCGGGAAAAGAAGGCTCTCTCCTCTTCCAGTCCTCTAATGTTCCTGTTGTTGGGAGGCGCAGATTAATTGTGCCCCACGCCCCCCCCACTCCCATCCCCGAGCGGTTCTGTGCCCAGGTAGGGCTGGAGAAAGGAACAGCGGGCCCCGCCCACGTCATTACTAATGTAGCAATCATCTGCATAAACCCAGGTCACGGTTCCTATTGGCTGAGTCCGCTGAGGGTGACGTCATTGGGACGTACTAAGACTAGGGTTGGGCCGAGAGTCGGAGCCATTACTGCAGGAAAAGGTCCCGCAGAGCTGAGCAGTCAAGATGGTGGGGCCCAGGTCCTGGGAGATGGGCAGGATTGGGGGCGAGAGGTGGGAAGAGACGGGTGGGGGGCGAGGAAAAGGCAGGGGTAGGAGGCAAAGGGAACCTGAGGACCCGAAAGGTTGGAGGTGGGGTTGGAAAGCCTGGGGCCCTATCCTGCGGGGAAGCGAGTCTGCAGCCTGAAACAGGAGTTTGTGGGGCTGGGATAGAAACTCGGGGGATTGGCGTTCAGATGCTGACCACTTCCCTCTTCTCTGAGCAGTGTGACTTCACCGAAGACCAGACCGCAGGTAGGTTATCTCTGATCCCTACCGAGGTCACCCTTAGGGAGAGGGACACCCGCCCCCCAGCACCTATCCTCTAATCTTAATCTGTCATCTCTTTAGCACCCCTATGAGGTTACCCCCTGGATTATTTTCTCTTTTTTTGGATCCTCCATTTTCTTTTCTCACTTTCTTCCTCCCTCCCCTTCCACTCTAGATCTGAGTCCCAAGCACTGGGTGAGTTTTAGGTGGTGTGGGTATGTGAAAAAACTTGGTCACCTAATGCCTGCTGTTTGTGGGGTCTGGGGAGGGTGTATAAAGCTGCCTGCTCTCCTTTGTCCCTTAATCAGCTACTTCTGTCTTTTTTCTCCTCCTGTGATAACTGCCCCTGACCTCCCAGCTTGCAGTTGTGAAGACTGTAGAGCAGTGACTTGATATTCTGTGCAGATGGGGACAGGACAGGGGAGTTTGCTAAGGATATGACTGTAGCTCTACCCTCTGGAAGTTCTCTTTGTACTGGAGGGGTGCAAAGTGGCAGGTTGGGATGACCCTGGTCCCAGGCTGCTGCTCTCACTTCCTTATAAGGACAGGACTGAGACTGGGCGGTGGCGAATTCCTGCCCTGAGAAGTGTAGTAGCAGCAGTGGAGATTGGCAGGTCTGCCGCAGGCAGAGGGGGATGTGTAAATGGATGTTACCAGGCTGCCAGAGGGGGAGGAAGGCTCTATATAGGACACCTGAGTTGGGAGGAAGATAAATAGATCCCTCTTAAGTACACTTCGGTGTACAGTTTGGTGCAGATATCTGGTTTCCTCAGCATGATCAAAGTTGAATGGGCAGCAGGCTCTGAGGTAGGGTTTGGGTTAACCCTCAAATCCTGTGTTGACATTCATCTGAATCCTCAGAGTTCAAGGAGGCCTTCCAGCTGTTTGACCGAACAGGTGATGGCAAGATCCTGTACAGCCAGTGTGGGGACGTGATGAGGGCCCTGGGCCAGAACCCTACCAACGCCGAGGTGCTCAAGGTCCTGGGGAACCCCAAGAGTGATGGTGAGGGGCCTCAAGAACAACAACTCAGTGTGGTCATGGGCCCACAGTTCTTCAGCTAAGAGCTTCCCTTTATCTTCATAGGCCCCAAACTCAAAAGTCTGGATTAGCAAATCCCATGGATTTCCCTGCTTAGGAGGGAGTCATCTCTCTGTTCAGTTGAGGTCTCTATTATCCCCCGTCCTGAGAACTTGTGTTACTTCTCTGGCCTGACACTTCCACCTCCTTTATGGCAGAGATGAACGTGAAGGTGCTGGACTTTGAGCACTTTCTGCCCATGCTGCAGACAGTGGCCAAGAACAAGGACCAGGGCACCTATGAGGATTATGTCGAAGGACTTCGGGTGTTTGACAAGGAAGGAAATGGCACTGTCATGGGTGCTGAAATCCGGCATGTTCTTGTCACACTGGGTAAGGTTCTGTGTCCTTGTCCTTGAGCTGAGATGCCACCCTGAATACCTCACTTGTCTCCCAATTCCAAAGATGCTCTCTTTCCCCCTGCAGGTGAGAAGATGACAGAGGAAGAAGTAGAGATGCTGGTGGCAGGGCACGAGGACAGCAATGGTTGTATCAACTATGAAGGTAAGGGGTGAACTGCGCTTTCGCAGCCACATGGGGCAGGTCAAGTATAGTGTTTGGGGCTTTCCCTATCCCTGGACGTGGGCTCCAAAAAGAGCCAGGAGGCAAGGTGCAGGGCCCTGCCCAGCCCAGCCCAGGAGTGGGAGGTCAGGGGGGTGTAACAGGAAAGGAAGGAGTAGTATTGTAGAGGGTGGGAAGGAATGAGAAGTGAAATAATGGAATGTCTGTCCCCACCGCCTGACCCCTCACCCCATGTCTGTGTCTTGTCTTCACCATGAATGTCTCTTCCTTCCTGCAGCGTTTGTGAGGCATATCCTGTCGGGGTGACGGGCCCATGGGGCGGGTACGGCTCCTCCCAGCCTCTCCTCTAGTTGATCTCCCCAGTGTTTCTTTTTTCCTCAACCTGTGCTCTTTATCCCCTGCCCTTACCCTACTACCATCTGACTTCCTCCTGGCATGTTTCTGCATGGAGCTGACTAGGGAGGGGAGGGATTCCTCATAGAGGAATACAGCCTGGGGGTAAGGTACCTCTTTACTTCTAGAATGGGCCCTGAGGTTTTACTTATAGGGCCCTGGGTGCTGGTGTCTGGGAACTCTCACCAGCCTGTATACCAGTCTTGCTTTAGGGTGACCTTCTGGCCCTGGAGCATGGGTAGCTGGCATAGAGGGGTATGGGTTGCCTGCCCCATTCTGCTGCTATAGCTGAACAGTCCTTTCCCCTTCCCTCGCTGGGCAGCTTGGAGGTACCCTAACCCAAAACTCTTGTCCTCTCCTCCCGCCAGTGGCTGACAGTAGCTGTAGGTGTAGTTGAGAACTTTTCTGCCTCTGCTGTGTTCTTGCTGCTCAGGGTGGGGAGGGGCACTAACAGCTGGTGGGAGGGGAGCTAGGGGCAGGGAGAACTGGTCAGACTCAAGGTGGCTCCTCTGCAAACTGACCCCAGGGTTGGTTGCTGTGGGCATGTTCCCTCTTATGCTACCTTTGCAGTCTTGTAGTCCCCTCGCCCTTGGTGTACCCCTCCACAGCCCTGTTCCCTGGCTCATTCCACCTTTCCTTTCCACAGAGCTCGTCCGCATGGTGCTGAATGGCTGAGGACCCTCCCAGTCTCCCGACTCCGTGCCTTTCCCTGTGTGAATTTTGTATCTAGCCTGAAGTTTCCCTAGGCTCTCTTGTCTCAGCACCTTTCCCATCTTGTCTCTTGGATGATGTTTGCCGTCAGCATTCACCAAATAAACTTGCTCTCTGGGCCCTCGGTTCGGTTCTGCTTTCTTTCCTGAACAGGGTAAAGGGGAAGAAGGTGAGGTGGTGATGATTTCTGCCCTGAGGCAGAGTCCAAGGTCAATGGTGCAGGGGTTGAGGAAAGCTGAGGCAGGAAGCCCCTGTACTAGCCGTCTGGGCTTCATTTAAAAACTGCTGGCCCCATTCATCCATCTTACACAAGCTACCTCTTGGGAGATTAGGAAATCTCCTACTAGATTGGTCCTACCTAAGATCCTGGTAGGACCAAGGCTGGCCATCCCTGTTCCATTCCATATCAGGCTGTCTTCTCCTAGCCTTCCAGCTCCTTAAATCTGGCCCCCGCCCTCCCAAGCTCCCAGTAAGGCCTTTTGTGGGGAAGCCTGTGGAGTGTTTACTGGAGCTAAAACCAGGCCATTATTAGCACTGCCTAAGCCTGTCCATCACCTCAGCAGGGCGAAGGGCCAATAACAACAAAAGGAGGTAAGGGACTTGCCTCCTCCCTAATAAGGGAAGGAGTGAAACCACTACTTCTGAAGGGATAAAGATACAAAATTCCATTATTGTGGGAATGTCCTTCCAAGTCTTAAACAGCTTTTAGGGCAGGTGAGAGCCTCTGCTCCTATACCAGCACACAGTCTTGACATCTGTGCTGCTGTTCGTGTTTCGTGGGGAGGCGCAGTGTCTAGGCCCTGTGGCTTGCATAATGTCTCTGCGGCCGGGGTAAACGCCGCTGTGAAGGACTCCAGGAAAGCTGCTCCAATCCCAGTCCCCCTGCCTGACAGCCACAGGTAAGAAGAACACAGAATGCACCCACAAGATGGAACTGAAAGCAAATTAATTTATAAAAAAAAAAAAAAAAAAAAAAAAAAAAGAAAATTTACAGAAAACTTTGAACAGAAGAAAGGTGCTAAGACGCAGAGGGAGAGAAACACGGGGACATGAGGAACAAAGGGCCTGGTGGAAGGAACCAAGAAGAACCAGTGCAGAGCCTGGAGGCACACCTGCCTTCCAGTCACAGGGGAGGAGCTGGGACGTGGAGCAGGAATGCAGGAAGCAGAGTTGAGCTCCGAGCCAAGGGTTGGTCCAGCCCAAGGTTGGGCACCCTCTTCCACTGCTCCCAAATCCCTGCATCCTCATCTGGGGAGCCCCCAGCTATCAGCTGAAGTTCTCACAGTCTTGGTGGGAGAGGGAGGAGGCTAAGGGGTGACCCACCAAGTCATAATAAGGAGGTGCTTAAGTGCTTTAAAAAACAATTTCAGGTTTTAAAACTTCGCATCCTCTTACAGCTCCCTTCTCTGCGCCTTCCAGGAGTCCATGGATACAGCCCAGGGAAGGAAGGAGAACAGCCCCCACTGCCCTTTCTTCTATTACCTACCACAGAAATCCCCGAAATTAGGTTTTCCCCACCAAATACACATACGCTGACATCAACTAAGCAGGTGACTTTTAAAAACAAAACTGACATTCAGAGGGAAAGGAATCATTGGCTGAGCTGGGGTGGCCTAAAACAGCAACAATGAGGAAGCCGCAGGAGGGATCATTAGTACGAATAAACTCGAATAAGCTCAGTGTAGGGTGGGCTAGGGGAGCTGGGGCCTTGACTCAGTCACTAAAAAGGGGCTTGGGGAGAGACAGAATCTGCACCCTGTTCTATCCCCAGAGCTCTCCCTGGAATTTTAATTCCCCTTTCCTAAAACTCACTCCCCCTCAAAAAATGTAAAAATTGGTTATTTTTTAGTGGGTAGAAGGGAGCTCCAATGTGGCTTTTTAAAATCTACTTTTTTTTTTTTTTTAATCCATAGAAAATGCAGTAGTTTGGAGGGAGGTGTACCCTTAGAAGTGGTTAATAGAACCTTGTATAAACACCTTTCACCAGCCCTTCCTTTAGGGCAGCATTCCCATCCTATCCTCTCTCCCAGACATTAGAAACATCTTTTAAACAGAAGTCCTTGAATAATCTGATATAAAAATGCATGCCTCTGTTAGGCATGGTGAGGGCTTTGGAGGGGCGGAAGGAGCTTTCCTTACGTAGTGATGAACTCTCCAGGCTGGGGAGGGTCCCAGTGGTGGGGGAAGGGCTGTTCCTGGAACCGTGATCTCCAGAGGGGGTGAGGGGGAGAGATGTCTGGCTGGCTCCTCACTGTGGAGGTGGCACAGGGGTGACCGTGCCTGGGCTCGGGGCTGTGGGGTCTGGAGGCAGGGGGGTGCCTGGGTCTGTGGAGAAAAGTAAGATGAATCAGTTAGATTGCGCAGGAGAGAGGGCTCCAGACCCAGACCAATACAGACAGAACCGGGCATGGCATGCAGTGGTTGGGTGGATGAATGAGGTACCCACAATGTTCAACTTCTGTTCCCAACACCCTCTTCTACCTCATACTGAGAAAAACTGATATAAAGGAGACTCTCTAAATGGGGCATCTGAACGTGATAGGAATAAGCAAAGGGATGACAATCATCATGCAAACAGCTGCTTTTCAAGTTTACAACTGATGCTCTCTGCCACAGGATTGCTCCATGACCCACCAGTGAAAGGCCCCAATACCATCCCAAAGGTGGCAGCTGCCAGGCTGGGGACTGGTGGAGGACAGCCAGAGAGGCCTTTCCTCCTGTATTCTAATTTTACCAGAGTGTTCAAAAAAGACTGTGGAAAGTCTAGTACCTGACCTCTTCCCCCACCTGCCCGCTCACCCTCCCTCCATGTGGACCCCTCTCCCTCACCCTTCTCCCCTCTTGGCCCCTTCTCACCTGGCAGTGGGCTGGCACTGGGCAGGAGGTTGCCCTGAACAGCTGCCACAATGGCAGGGCTTTGGGCTGCGGCGGATCCGAGCCCCGGCCCGAGAGGCAAGGAAGATGGCATGGTGGTGGTCGCCGGCAGGTTAGGATGTAGAGGGTTCGCCATGGACACAGGCAGGTTAGGTGGGGGGAGAGTGCCCGGGGCGAACGGGAGATGGTGGTGATGCCCATGCAGGTTAGGAGGAGGGGGGAGGTTAATACTGATGGAGTCAGCTAGACTACCAAATGGGATGATGGATGGAGCAGGAGGAGGAGGAGGAGGCGGCATGCCAAAAGGCAAACCCAAAGGAGCATTACCCGCCACGCCTGGGTGCCCGCTGCCTGGCACTGCCCCTGGCATCATTGAGGGAGGAGTTTGTTGGTTGGGGAACGGTGAGGGGCCTAAGAATAAAGATGAGAGATGGAGAAAGTTAGGTATAAAATGTTGCTTAACAACTCTTTTCTTTTTTATTTTTCTTTTAGACGGAGTTTCACTCTGTCGCCAGGCTGGAGTGCAGTGGCACGATCTTGGCTCACTACAACCTCCACCTCCCAGGTTTAAGCAATCTCCTGCCTCAGCCTCCAGAGTAGCTGGTACTACATGCGCCCGCCACCATACCCAGCTAATTTTTGTATTTTTAGTAGAGATGGGGTTTTACCATGTTGGCCAGGATGGTCTTGATCTCTTGACCTCGTGATCCACCCGCCTCTGCCTCCCAAAGAATAACTCACTTTTACAAACAAGGATAATCTAGCCATTCCTTGGCTCTGTCTTCCCTTTTTCTGACACTAGAGTAAGTGAACAAAATTCCAAAGCTCTCGAGTTTGGGGAAGGATTCCTGCTGGTTTAGGGGCCTAAGAGAGATGGGCCCATCTATAGAAATTGAGGCTAACCTCATCTCCAGACTCATCTTGTATTCCCTTTGAGGGGAACTGGGACATTCACCTGGATTCTTCTAGTCAACAAAAGTTCTGGAACATGACACTTACCATGGGGTCCAGGGGGGGGAACCCCTGGTGGGACTGCCCCAGGCTGGGGGGCTCCAGCTGGTTGCTGCTGCTGTGGCCCTGCAGTTGACCCTGCCTGCCCAATCTGTTCAGAAGGGCCCAAGCTTCCTGGAGGGGCCCCACTGCCAGCAGGAGCAGGGACTACAGAGGCTGGAGCCACAGCCAAGCCATGGACTGCGGGTGGCCCAGCAGCCCCTGTCGGGGGGATAGGCTGGGAGCCTGGGGGCAGGGCTGGCGGTGGCTGCTGCTGCTGTTGGTGCATCTGTTGGAAGTGCTGCTGCCGAGCCCTCATCTCCGCATACTTCAGCTGCTCCATGTGGAAGGCTTGTCTGTCGGCCAGGAGCTGCTGCCTCTGATACTCCAGCTGCCAGTGCCAATTGTGTATTGTTATCCAGTTTTCAGCAGGTCCCAAAGGCAAATGCCTTGACCCCTGCTTTGTCTTCTTCTGAAAGATCCTGCCTCTCAATCAGAAGGTTCCCAAAATCTACATCTTGCGCTTGTGCCTCCTCTGTCCTCCCCACCCCACTTCGTGCAAATTCCCATGACCTTTATGTCTCCTGGGTGCCCATATGGTTTCTTACTGCAATGACTTTAACCTGGTCCCAGTTCACTTCAGCTACAAAGCTCTGAACTTGCCATTACCTTGTTTTGGAAAATGCTTCCAGTTCCTTTTGTCAACTCAAGTTCTTTTCTTACTTCAAAATTCACTAAAAACTCACTGTTCTTAGGAAGCTATTCCAGATCAATTCATTTGCCTCTGAACTTTAGCTTTATTTTATGATCTCAGGACTTAGAAACTTGATGTGCAATCTCTCTTTTTTTTTTTTTTGAGACTGAGTCTCACTCTGTCGCCCAGGCTGGAGTACAGTGGTGTGATCTCACTGCAACCTCCGCCTACCTGGTTCAAGCAATTCTCCTGCCTCGGCCTCCCGAGTAGCTGCGATTACAGGTGCGCACCAGCATGCCAAACTAATTTTTTGTATTTTTTATTCTTTAGTAGAGACAGGGTTTCACTGTGTTAGCCAGGATGGTCTCGATCTCCTGACCTTGTGATCCACCTGCCTCAGCCTCCCAAAGTGCTGGAATTACAGGCATGAGCCACCATGCCCGGCCGATGTGCAATCTCTTAACGTGAACCTGTCAGATACTTTAAACCTTCTTAACTGTTTCTGATGTCTCCATATTGTATATTCATTTGATGTCTCCCATTAAACCTTAAGTTCTCTGAGATCCCTATCTTTTATTTCTTTTTATTCTTTTTTTTTTTTTGAGATAGGGTCTCACTCTGTCAACCAGGCTGGAGTGCAATGGTGCAAACATGGCTCAGTGCAGCCTTGACCTCCTGGGCTCAAACGATCTTCCCACCTCTGCTTGCTGAGTAGCTGGGACCACAGGCTCGCATCACCATGCCCGGCTAATTTGTTTATTTTAAAAAATTTTTTGGTCTGGGCACAGTGGCTCTTGCCTGTAATCCCAGCGCTTTGGGAGGCTGAGGCAGGCGGATCACCTGAGGTTGAGTTTGAGACCAGCCTGGCCAACATGGCGAAACCCTGTCTCTACTAAAAATACAAAAATTAGCTGGGCATGGTGGCATACACCTGTAATCCCAGCTACTCAGGAGGCTGAGGCAGGAGAATTGCTTGAACCCAGGAGGCGGAGGTTGCAGTAAGCTGTGATTGCACCACTGTACTCCAGCCTGGGCGAAAGAGTGAGACTCCATCTCAAAAAAAAAAAAAGGCATGGTGACTCACACCTGTAATCCAGCACTTTGGGAAGCAGAGGTGGGCCGACCACCTGAGATTGGGAGTTCGAGACCAGCCTGACTAACATGAAGAAACCCCATCTCTATTAAAAATACAAAATTAGCTGGGCGTGGTGGCGCATGCCTGTAATCCCAGCTACTGGGGAGGCTGAGGCAGGAGAATCGCTTGAACCCAGGAGGTAGAGGTTGTGGTGAGCCAAGATCACACCATTGCACTCCAGCCTGAGCAACAAGAGCGAAACTCTTGTCTCAAATAAATAAATAAATAAATAAATAAAATAAATTGTCAAGACAGGGATATCACTATGTTACCGAGGCTGGTCTTGAACTCCTGGGGGGGCTCAAGTGATCCTCTGCCTCAGCCTACCAAAGTACTGGGATTACAGATGTGGGCCACTATGCCTGGTCCCTATTGTCTGTTTCTTCTTATGTCCTCCAAAGACAAAATGGTTCAACACTGTGTCTGTTCCATTCCCTTTCCAAGTGTACCTCCTGGATCTGAGACCCTAACCCTCTCTCTCATCATTCCTTAAGCCCATTTACTCAATCACTATTTGAGTCTACTATGGGTCAAGCACTGCTCAAGGACCTGGTGATACAGCAATCAAAACAACCAACTAGAGTCCCTGCCTCATGGAGCTGACCTTCTGTGGGACCTCAGTCCCCAGACTTCACTTGTGAGACCACTTAACTGTCCTTCACTGGCTGCCCTACTCCTGCCCTGTTCCTGCCCTGCTCTGCTTTGAAGCCCTGTCAGTCTCAGGCTTTCCCAACTGTTGCTTATCTCTCTTTCACTGAAACACGCGCACGCGCACACACACACACACACACACGCCCCTCTGATTTTAAACTGAGGCACAGCACAGCAGGGTTCCAGGGCTCCTGCTACTCACTGCTTCTCGCTCCCGGTCCATGATAGTCTCCAGCTCCTCAAAGTGCCGAAGTTTGATCTCCAACTTTTTCATCTGGGTCTCCACCAGCAGGGCCACCAAAGATTTGATCTTCCTTTCCTCAACAGCAGCCAAGTGCTAGGGAAGGAGGAATGAGACAACACATCAGTGGGAGGACCAACTGAAGACAATACAGAAGAAAGGTAGGGTGGATGCTGGCAGGTATAAGAACAAACTTGCCGTGGTAACAACTCATGGTGAAAGGGCTTGACTTTTTTTTGTGCTGGGATCATAGGTGTGAGCCACCGTGTCTTTTTTTTTTTGAGACAGTCTCACTGTTTTGAGACAGTTGCCCAGGCTGGAGTGCAGTGGCATGATCTCAGCTCACTGTAACCTCCACCTCATGGGTTCAAGCAATTCTCGTGCTTTAGCCTCCCTAGTAGCTGGGATTACAGACATGCGCCACCACGCCAGCTAATTTCTGTGTTTTTAGTAGAGACAGGGTTTCACCATGTTGGCCAGGCTGGTCTCAAACTTCCAACCTCAGGTGATCCACCTGCCTCAGCCTCCCAAAGTCCTGGGATTACTTACACGTGTGAGCCACTGCGGCCAGCCTTTTTAAAAAATTAAATTATTTTGGCCAGGCGTGGTGTGTCTCAAGCCTGTAATCCCAGCACTTTGGGATGCTGAGACAAGCAGATCCCTTGAGTCTAGGAGTTCGAGACCAGCCTGGGGCAACAGGGTGAAACCCCGTCTCTACTAAAAATACAAAAATTAACCAGGCATGGTGGCAAGTGCCTGTAATCCCAGCTACTCGGGAGGCTGAGGTTGGAGAATCGCTTGAACCCAGGAGGTGGAGGCTGCAGTGAGCCGAGATTGTGCCACTGCACTCCAGCCTGGACAACAGAGTGAGACTCCATCTCAATAAATAAATAAATAAATAAATAAAAGAACATGGAGGTTGGGCGTGGTGGCTCACACCTGTAATTCCAGCAATTTGGGATGCCAAGGCGGGTGGATCACCTGAGGTCAGGAGTTCAAGACCAGCCTGGTCAACATGGCGAAACCCCGTCTCTACTAAAAATACAAAGAGTTAGCCGGGCATGGTGTTGTGCGCCTGTAATCCCAGCTACTCGGGAGGCAAAGGCAGGAGAATCACTTGAACCTGGGAGGTGGAGGCTGCAGTGAGCGAGATCTGATAGAGCAAGACTCTGTCTCAATAAAAACATGGAGATACTGTGGCAAAGGGTAACACGGAGTCAAATACCGACAGGGTTGAAAACAGGCCCAATGGTGACATATTTTTTTAAAGCTTAGAGAAGGGATGACTAACTTTACCTCCTCCAGAGATTAAAAATTAAAAATAAATAGGTCAGCATTATTTAAGGTGTGAGTGAGGAAGGATTTCCTCTAAGTAACATGAGATTAGAGAAGTGGGCATTTTCTTCCCTGAGGTCTTCAAGGTCTGGCCTCACCTTGGCTTTCACTGCGGCAGCAGCCAGGGCGGCAGCAGCGGCGGTGGAGAGGTTGCCCTCGCCAATGTCCCGCTCCACCTTTGTCTTCCTTTCCCCCTCAGACTCCACCACTTCCTTCAGCACTTCCTCCTGCCCTTCCTTTGGCTCCTTCTCCTTCTCCGGATCGACTGGGCCAGGACAAGGGTTAAGTTAGCCCCACAGTTTCACCTCTCTTCCCTGCACCCCCACCTACCCTTGTGGGAGGCTCACCTATCGGGTCTCCATCACTCTTCTCAGACTCCTTCTCACTGTCACCTTCTTTCCCTTTCTCCTCATCCTTCTTGGGAGCCTCGCTGGTTTTCTCCTTTGCTTCCTCCTCTATGGCACCCCCTCCTTCTCGGGGTTCCTGAAATTCCAGTGATAGAAAAGGAGAGTTATCAGGGATTGGGGTGATTAGTTCTCACACAGAGGAGCCAGACAGGGAACTAAATTTATTCCTCTTACTTCGGAGGTGATTTCATTCTAGGAGACAACCCCGTCCAAAACCAGCCCTTGCCCACCTAAGCTGAACAAGGCCAATTCCCCCATCACCACAGTGCTGCACACAGCCCCTGCAGCTCCCAGCAATCCCTCCGTACCTTGGGCTCCTTCTTCTCATCTGTGGCCTGGCCTTCCACCCGAGCCTCGTCATTCCCGCTCTCCTCTGGGCCCATGGGAAAAGGAAAACAGGAAATGTCTAATACACAGTCGTCTGTGTCTAACACTCTTCTTTTTTTTAGAGACAGGTTCTTGCTGTGTTGCCCAGGTTGGTCTCAAACTCCTGGGCCCACGCAATCCTCCCACCTCAGCCTCCTGACCAGCTTGGACTACAGTGTGAGCCTCTGCACCCAGCTTCTCCATAACACCTGTCTTTTTTCTTTTGAGACAGGGTCTCACTCTGTCGCCCAGGCTGGAGTGCAGTAGCACAATCATGGTTCACTGCAGCCTTGACTTCCTGGGCTCAAGTAGTTCTCTCACCTCAGCCTCCTGTGTACCTGAGGCTACAGGCACATGCCACCACGCCTGGCTAATTTTTTTGTAGAGACGGGATTTAGCCACGTTGCCCAGACTGGTTTCAAACTCCTGGGCTCAAATGATCTGCCCACCTCAGCCTCCCAAAGTACTGGGATTACAGGCATGAGCCACTGCGCCCAGCCTTCACAAGACTTTTTCCTTTTTGAGACGAAGTCTTGCTTTGTTGCCCAGACTGGAGTGCAGTGGCCTTGATCTTGGCTCACTGCAACCTCTGGCACCCAGGTTTAAGCTATTGTCCTGCCTCAGCCTCCGAAATAGCTGGGATTACAGGTGCGCGCCACCACGCCCAGCTAATTTTTGTATCTTTAGTACAGACGGGGTTTCAGCATCTTAGCCAGGCTGGTCTTGAACTCCTGACCTCATGATCCACCCGCCTCAGCCTCTCAAAGTGCTGGGATTATAGGCGTGAGCCATCGCGCCCAGCCTTCACAAGACTTTTCTAATAGCCCCTTCTACAGGCCAAGATTTTTCTACCCAAAATCTTCATGAGAGGGCCAGTAGAGGTCCAGAGCCCCTGAGGTAAGCTCATGGGGAAAATAAAAACCCTACCGATTTTCTCATTCATGTTGTGCTCTGATGCCAACTTGAGGCAGAAATGGCACAGGGAGGCCAGGTGGCTCCGGCTCTTGTGAAAGGCAAGAAATGTGGGAACCTGCCTGGCCTTACCAATCCGCTCAGGCTCATCAGAGGTGGTTCCTGCAATGCCACTGCTTTCCAGACCGAAGGCAGGGTCCGCCTTGCCTGTTACTTTGGCTGCTTCTTCCACTTTCCGAACATGGGCCTCCACCAAGGCCGTGGGTACCTCTTCCTTCATTTTGGAGAACTCCTCTGTAAGACCCAGAAAGGATGAGGCTGGGAGTGGCGCAGGGGGACAGTTCTGGCAATCCCTGCAAAAGCTTACTCACAAGCCCATGTCTTTATCTAAGCCAGTATGGAGCCTAGACAGATGCCCGAGCTGAGGCCTGCACAGACAAGGACAGCAGGGCAGCCAAACTTGAGAGGATTCACAGTCTGAGTAACTAGCCCTTCAAAAGCAAACTAAGAAGGCCAGGTGGAACCGCCCACCCCCATTACCTAGGGCTGACTTTGCAGCAGCAGAGGCGACTCGGGGATCGACGACAGAGGCCAAGAAGGCAACAGTGCTCATAACAGGGTTGCCCGACTGACTGAAGGGGATGGGTTGGTAGGCCAGGGGGCCTAGGGAGGCCTCTGAGTCCTCCAGGTATGGGTCTTCAATGGGAAGACGAAGAAAATGCAAGATGCACTCGTCCTGTGTGCGGCTTCCCACATGCTCGGACACTTTGTTCCAGTCATCTTTGTACATTTCCAGTGCCTGGTGGTAGTGGTGGAGACATAACTCCGCTTACTTAGCCACTTTTCTCGAAGGCCGACTCCCCCCATCCTACTAAGGGCAGCTGGTTTCAAAGCTCTCTATGTTCTGGTATTTGTGTACTCTGCTAGGTCCAAGAGGGATCTTGAAGTAGCACTAAGAAAGGATATGAAGTTAATGAAATGGCCCAAATCCCCAGCCTGGAGCTGGTCCCTGGGGCAGGTGCAACAGGCATTGGGAACGGGAGAGACAGGGCAAGATCATGCTCTGCTCATGCCAAACTCCACGATCTCTCCTCACTCACAAGTGTGGCCAGCAACTTCAACATGTCTGTTTTCTTTTTTTGTTTGTTTGTTTTTTGAAACAGGGTCTTGTCTCACTCTGTCACCCATGCTGGAGTGCAGTGGTATGATCACAGCTCACTGGAGCCTTGACCTCCTGGGCAAGCCTCCCACTTAGCCTCCTGAGTAGCTGGGACCACAGGTGTGTGCCACCACACCTGGCTAATTTTTTAAATTTTTCATAAAGGCAGAGTCTCACTATGTTGTCCAGGCTCGTCTCGAACTCCTGGGCTCAAGCGATCCTCCTGCCTTGGCCTCTCAAAGTGCTGGGATTACAGGTGTGAGCCTCTACACGGAGCCCACTTCTGTTTCCAGAGAAAAACTCTTTTCTTTGCCCCAATTACCTCCAGGAGAAGCAGGGTTTCCTGTTCTGTCCACTCACGAGTGGCACTGGCTGCAGCTTTGCTCTGCAGGGGAAACACAGGCAGGTCAGAAGAGAGGAGCCTGTGACCTCTGAGGAGTGAACATTCTCTACCCCTAAAGTCGGCCCCCACCTCCTACCTTGGAGGGAACATTCTTTTTTGTGTACATGTCTGTGCGCAGCCCAAAGTTTTGCATGTCTGTTGGTTTCTCTTTGCCTTTGTCAGGAAAGTTGAGCATTTGTTGGGAAGCAGAGGTCTGCTATTTGTGGAGGGAAAGAAAGAGGTGAGTACAAGTGACCACTGGGAGCCAGGGGCTGACAGAGAGAAAAAACAGACAGAAGGAGCTTCTTTCCCAAAGCCAGGGACACCCCTGGGTGGGACTTCCTCCCTTACTGCTGTAGTTCCTCTGCTCTCATGTCTCTTCTTCCCGGGCAGGGGCCCCCCAATAAAGGGGCAAATGAGCAGCCCAGCAGGGTCTGCACCCCACCTACCAGCTCTGGCTTGCCCTTAGCCGTCTCTGGCACCAGGTCATCCAGCTCTTTGCCCTTTCGCCCAGCCTTGGTATCAGCATCAACCTGGCGGCCCTGGGGGACAGAGCTTGGCGTCATGGAGGCTGGGCAGGAAATGACCAGGTCAAGGCCCTGGAGGCCTCAAGACCAAATGCTGGGCGGCCCGCAAGCTCTGGGGGCACTCATGCCACTGTTCCATGTTCCCTTCATGATTAGTAAGACATGTCATTGGCATGATATCCATATATATTCACATTATCTTTACAGGTTCTCTTAGGAGCTGGACAATTACGTTCTAATCCTAGATTTGGTACTCTGTGACCTTGGGCAAGCCACATAACCTTCTTCCTAAATTTTGTAATGGATGAAGTGGAAATGAAAAAAAAAAAAAAAGAAGGTGATAATTATGAGGCAAAAATGAAAAAATGTGGCAAAGATGACAAAGTTTAAAAATTTCATGCAAGTTAATTTTAAGCCATTTTTCTCTATCTATTGAATCCCCTACATTAGCCTGTCTGCTCCTTGAGTAAAAGGATAATCTCTTCTCCCTCAGCAATTACAGCCTTAGGTACAAAGGCTGAGAGAGGATGCTAAACACATGGGGCTGATTCCTGTGGCCCTTTGCATCCCATGGAAAAGCAAGAAGCCTCAAAACACTCCTGAACCATTAGCCTAAAAACCAGAAAAAGAAAAGTTCAAAGAAGCCCAATCTTCCCAACCCCGCCCCATCCCCATAGTACCTCACCCTACCTGAGGGGTCTTGGGCTGCAGAGGCACCAGCCCTGATGGTGTGTCAGCCAAGACATGGAAGTGAGAGGTAGGCGGAGGCCCCATTGGGGTTGGTCGACTCTCAGCATCCACCTGGTAGTTAATAAGACCCCACTGTTCTAGGAAGGCATGGACCCTGTGCGGAGAGAGGCAGAGACAGTGTCACACGGATAGCCAGAAAGGTGCACGAGGAAGAGGAAAACTGGGGGTAGAAGTTGGGGCATAAACCCCCTCCCCACCCAACCCCAGCCTTTTCCTCTGTTCATTGTACTCCTTAGGAAATTTTACCTACTCCAGTTGTTCATTTACCACCTAAATGCCAGTGACACCCAAGTCTACATCTCCAGCCTGGGCCAATCTCTATATCCACCTACCTACTGAACATTTCTTCCTGAATAGCTAGTAAAACTGAACCAGTTTCTTTCTTTTCTTTTCTTTCTTTGCCCTTCCTCCCTCCCCACTCCCTCCCTCTCCCTCTCTTTCTTTTTTTCTATCCCTGAGAGAGGCTGAAGTGCAGTGGTGTGATCACCGCTCACTGCAGCCTCCACTCCAGGGCTCAGTGATCCTCCCATCTCAGCCTCCTGAGTCACTAAGACCATAGACACGTGCGACCACGCCTAGCTAATTTTTTTGCATTTTCTGTAGAGATGGGGTTTCGCCATTTTGCCCAGGCTGGTCTCGAACTTCTGGCCTCCAGCGATCCTCCCACCTTGGTCTCCCAAAATGTTTAGATTATAGGCACGAGCCACTACACCTGGCCTGAACCAGTAGCTTTCAATTACACACGTGCTCCTTTGTCCTATATTCTACACTTCAGAGAATGCCACTGCTAATCCCCCAAGTCATTCATTCCCAAACCTGTACTTCACCTTTCTCTAGAGGTGTTTTTTTCTGCCTGCTCCTCTATGTTCCTTGCTGGCATCTCTACTGTTGTCAAAACACATCCATAGGCAGGCATCTTCATGTACCCCCTTCCCCTCAGCCACAAGACCCACCTCATGATGGCACAGACATCACCCGCTAGGTTTCGGCGACAGGCGGTAGAGGTAAGATACTCTTGGGGGTTCAGTCGGTAAGTGTCAATCATAAAGTTTCGATAGGCCAGGTAGCTTAGAAGAGAGAGAGAAACAAGAAAAAAAATTAATGTTTGTTAAAGGGCTAAAGGAAAAAATGGTAAGAGAGCTAACGACTTCTCCTGCATGATAAAGGTGGAAAAAAGTAGATTATTTGACTCAATACGCTGAGTGCCTGCTATGTGCTAGATGAAAGGGTTTCAAATAGGTCTTAGTTTTCCTTGATGGTGTTTTCTTTAAATGAATTATCTCCTTGGCTATACTTATGGATATTTCATACAATTTTTTTTTTTTTGAGATGGAGTTTCACTCTTGTTGCCCAGGCTGGAGTGCAATGGCGTGATCTTGGCTCACAGTCACTTCCGCCTCCTGGGTTCAAGCAATTCTCCTGCCTCAGCCTCCTCAGTAGCTGAGATGACAGGCATGTGCCACTACGGTGGGATAATTTTGTATTTTTAGTAGAGACAGGTTTTCTCCATGTTGGTCAGGCTGGTCTTGAACTCCTGACCTCAGGTGATCCTCCTGCCTCGGCCTCCCAAAGTGCTGGGATTACAGGCATAAGCCACTGCGCCTGGCCATTTTATACAATTTTTAAACAAGGAATTAGAAGTTAAGAAAAAGTACTCATTTCCAAACTCAGATGTTAATAAGGAAGTCCTTATTCATGCACACAGCTAGTTAGCATAATATGGTAAAAAACATATGTTTTGAAGAAAAGACCTAATCCCAGTTCTACCATGAGGACCTTGGCAATTTACTTCGATTTTTTTAAACCTCAGTTTCCTCATCTGTAAAATGGAACATCCGTTGAGAATGAAAGGTCTATAGAGTACTAGTACAGTGCCTGGGGCACTGTAGGGGCTCAAAAAAAATGGCGGCTATTACGTGGTACAGTGTAAACTTTCAGATCATGGGCCAGATTAAAGGATTCAGATCCTGGTTTTACTTACTAGCTCTGTGACTTTATGCAGGTGACCTGACTCCTCTGTACCCTATCTGTCAACTGAAGATGATATCAACCTTCGTTGACATAAAGATTAAATTACTCAATGTATGTTGGACATTTAGGATAGTGCCTGGGAGATACTAAGCTCCCAGATGTAGGCAATTATCATCATTTACTATTTTTTTTTTCTGAGATGGAGTTTCACTCTTGTTGCCCAGGCTGGAGTGCAATGACGTGATCTCGGCTCACTGCAACTTCCACCTACTGGGCTCAAGTGATTCTCCTGCCTCAGCCTCCCAAGTAGCTGGGATTACAGGTGCGTGCCACCACACCCAGCTAATTTTTGTATTTTTAGTAGAGATGGGGTTTTACCATGTTGGCCAGGCTGGTCTCGAACTCCTGACCTCATGATCTGCCCCGCCTCGGCCTCCCAAAGTGCTGGAATTACAGGCGTGAACCACCACACCGAGCCCATCATTTACTATTTTATACCAAGAGTTCAGTTCCTACTCCAACCCTGCCTGCATGTCATGTTGAATTCATTTCATCTGATCACTACTTTCTTTTCACACATACTGCTTTCTCCAGGAAGAGAAGAAGAAAGAACCACAGCAAGCTATGAGGAAAAAACATGGAGGGACCACCAGAGAAGGCAAGCTGTGGAATACCTAGGAAGAAAACTTGTTCAGTTCTCAGTCTCACCCACCTCATCAATGTGGTTATCTTCAAGTATTCCTAACCAAAGAAGATTGCCACGTCTTATCCAAAGCCAAGCAGGTTTGGCCTGAGGCAAAATCTTTTTTTTTTTTTTGAGACGGAGTCTCGCTCTGTTGCCCAGGCTGAAGTGCAGTGGCAGAATCTCAGCTCACTGCAAGCTCTGCCTCCCGGGTTCACGCCATTCTCCTGCCTCAGCCTCCCAAGTAGCTGGAACTACAGGTGCCACCATGCCCAGCTAATTTTTTTTGTATTTTTAGTAGAGACAGGGTTTCACTGTGTTAGCCAGGATGGTCTCCCATCTCCTGACCTCATGATCAGCCTGCCTCGGCCTCCCAAAGTGCTGGGATTACAGGTGTGAGCCACCACGCTCAGCCGGCCTGAGGCAAAATCTTGAAGGAGATGAAGACTTTCGAGCCCCAAACCCATACTTTTATTTATTTGTTCATTAACTTTTTTTTTTTTTCTGAGACAGAGTCTTGCTCTATCGCCCAGGCTGGAGTGCAGTGGTGTGATCTTGGCTCACTGCAACCTCTGCCTCCCAGGTTCAAGCGATTCTCCTGCCTCAGCCTCCAGACTAGCTGGGACTACAGATGCGTGCCACCATGCCCGGCTATTTTTTTTTTTTTCCAGACAGAGTTTCACTCTTGTTGGCCAGGCTGGAGTGCAGTGGCATGATCTCGGCTCACCACAACTTCCGCCTCCCATGTTCAAGCGATTCTCCTGCCTCAGCCTCTGTAGTAGTTGGGATTACAGGCATGTGCCACCATGCCAGGCTAGTTTTGTATTTTTAGTAGAGATGGGGTTTCTCCAGGTTGGTCAGGCTGGTCTCGAACTCCCCACCTCAGGTGATCTGCCCACCTGCGCCTCCCAAAGTGCTGGGATTGCAGGCATGAGCCACTGCGCCTGGTCTTTTTTGGTATTTTTAATAGAGACGGGGTTTCACCACGTTAGCCAGGATGGTCTTGATCTCCTGACCTTGTGATCCACCCGCCTCGGCCTCCCAAAGTGTTAGGATTATAGGCATGAGCCACAGTGCCCAGCCTTGTTCATTCATTTTTTTAGATATGGGGTCTTGCTGTGTCAGTCAGGCTGGAGTGCAGTGGCGTGATCATGGCTCAGTGTAGCCTCAAACTCCTAGGCTCAAGCAACCCTCCCATTTCAGCTTCTCAAGTAGCTGGGACCACAGGTATGCCCCACCATGCCCAGCTAATTTTTTTTTTCACTTCTTTAGAGACGGGAGTCCTGCAATGTTGCTCACACTATTCTTGAACTCCTGGCCTCAAGGAATCCTTCTGTCTCAGTGTCCCAAGTAGCTGGGATGATTTACAGTCGTGAGCCACTGTGGCTCCTACACTTCTTTCCCAGAGAGCCCTCTCCATCCCTTAATTTATATAAACTGGTCTTCTATTAGTTCCTTCTCTTGTTTTTCTATGAAAACCTACTCTCAGGAACCAGCCTGGTAATAGTAATTTACACTTTAATCAAAGCTATTACTTGTGCTAGGAATATCTGCAGTTTAGACAATATCAGTAATATGGATTTAAAGGCTCTATACCCTGTTAAAAAGAATTTGAGGCATTGAAGTAAGTACTTGTTATATACAGAACATGCTTAATAGCACCCTTAGGCAAATCCTAAAGAACATGTGTCTACATGCTAGGCCAGGGCTGCCTAAAGGCAGATATTGTGTCTTTGTAAGCCTAGCACAGTGCCTGGCTCATGGAAGGAGCTCAAGAAATGTTTGCTAAACTGAATGTTACTGGATCAGGAAGGGTGAATGGGGGGACAGGAGGGAGAAAGAGAATCATGAGCTGAGATTTCCTTACATCTCTGGAGTCTTGGACTTGTTCTTGCCGTTGAAGAACTCGGGGAGAGCCCTCCGCTCAATGGCATGAACGCTGTAAGAGAAGCCAGAGTGGTTTCAGAAGAAGGCACTGTTGAAGGGATGGGGGCCCCAAGGGAGGAAAAGTCTAGAAGGCAAAGAAGGAAAAAAGCTCGAAATTGCTGCAGTTAGAAGCTTAGGGAGAACATCCCACAGGGCTGTAAGACTCAAAAGGACACCAGGAGCTCCCCTAAAACTATAGTGTACTCTGGTCTATCTGGCTGAGGAAAAAATAACTTATTTGGAGGAGGCAGGGAGAAGAACAGCCTGTTGACCCCTGGAGGCAGGGAAATAAGGACTCAGTGCGAAGTTGGGGACAACCATACCTATTGTAGTCAAACCAGGCAGCATAGCTGGGAATGATGATGTGGTGGGTCTGTTCAGTCACGTTGTCCTCATGCAGGTCTGGATTCTTGGTCTGCTCTCCCTTGTTCCCCGTACTGTTCTCATCCTCATCCTATAAGTATGGAGGCTGCTGGACACTCAGCATTCCTGTTTCCTCCCTAGCAACCCTCTGCTTCTCCCACCCCCCAGGAATGTGGACACTACAGATAGGTGATGGGACTGAGCAGTCATGGGCCCCAGGACTCTGAAAGGGTCAGAGTTTTGAACAACAGCTAGAATTAGTCTACGGTGGGTAAAGTCTGGGCATTGAAAAGTTTGGGCAGAATGAACTCTATAATCACAAATCAGAATCACATAGAGAGATAGGGCCTCTCTAAACTGGCTCCACCTTGCCCGTCGTCTCCATGCTTTCATCTTCCTGTTCATCTGAAAGACAAAGACCAAGATGTAAAGCTGAAGCCTCCTGAGGGGCAAGAAAGCCCTACAAAAAGCCCATCAGGTTAGCGAAAAGGGAGCAGCTGAGCCCTCCCCTCCCCTTGGCTCTGACTGCGTTGCCCAAGAGGCTCCTGTCTTACCTAGGTCAGTCATGGTGCCGCCTTTGACTGGGGCCGACTCTGAGTCTTTCTTTGTGTTAACTGCCAAAACAGAGAGTCATTTTATCAGACAGATTTTGCCTAATTCAAGCCTTCAATCTAATAGTTACAGAGATCCTACTTTCTCCAAAAATTTTCTTCATCTGATTGCAAAATATAGTAATTCTCTCCAGTCACAATTATTCTAGGGCCTGAAACTTGCTTGCTACTTTCCCCACTTCTCCAACCAAAAAATAGCTTATTTCTCTATGTACATTCGTTAATCATTCTTGTCTTTGATAGGTCTTTATCTCCATCTATGTATCTGTAAGCTTTTAATGGTCTGATACTGAATCTGACCAAATCATTCTGTGGAGGAATGGTTAGGTGTTAAACGTTTTTGAAAGCATACTTTCCTCAACTGAATTCATATGCATATGCTCAGGAGCAAACAGAGAGAGGAGAGCTGATTGATGAGGAGGTGGAAGCCAGAACTCTTCTTGGTGGCACCCCTAATCCTACCCCTGAAACACACGTCTGGAATACCTGGGGTGAGTCTATAGAATACAGACTGTAAACCAGCATTGGTGGAGCAATGGTCTCCAAAGTGGGGTTCTAACATAGGATGCAAAAGATGATCCACTGCAACTCAGGGAGAGAATACAGAATTTCTCTTCATGTTTTTGTTTTTTGTTTTTTTGAGACGGAGTCTTGCTCTGTCGCCCAGGCTGGAGTGCAATGGTGCGATCTTGGCTCACTGCAAGCTCCGCCTCCCGGGTTCAAGTGATTCTCCTGCCTCAGCCTCCCAAGTAGCTGGGATTACAGGCGTGTGCTATCACGCCTGGCTAATTTTTGTATTTTTAGTAAAGACAGGGTTTCACCATGTTAGCCAGGATGGTCTCCATCTCCTGACCTCATGATCTGCCTGCCTCGGCCTCCCAAAGTGCTGGGATTACAGGGGTGAGCCACCGTGCCTGGATACTTCATGTTTATCATTTTTTACATTTTTCAGTTTTTTAGATATGTTTGTGTTTTATAACGTTCCCACAGTAGTGACTTAATAGTACATGTACAGGCCGGGTGCAGTGGCTCACGCCTGTAATCCCAACACTTTGGGAGGCCGAAGTGGGCGGATCATGAGGTCAGGAGATCAAGACCATCCTGGCTAACATGGTGAAACCCCGTCTCTACTAAAAATACAAAAAATTAGCCAGGTGAGGTGGTGGGTACGTGTAGTCCCAGCTGCTTAGGAGGCTGAGGCAGGAGAATGGCATGAACCCAGGAAGCGGAGCTTGCAGTGAGCCAAGATCACGCCACTGCACCCCAGACTTCATGACACAGCGAGACTCCGTCTCAAAAAAAAAAAAAAAAAAAAGTAGTGTGTAAAATATCATCTAGTATGATTATGATTATGTAAAAACTAAATTGTGGATCCTGTAGACTGGGAGCTGGACCTGAGAAATCAGCTCACTCGGGGTTCGGCAAAGGAGAATCAGGATGGGGAGTAGGGGTGGATTCCAGGAGCTCAGCCTGGCCTGTACCTGTTTTGGGAAGTGTCACCTCTTCTACATTGGGGACTGGTGAGGGCTCGTCCATGTCCTTTGTGAGGTCTTCTTGCTCCTCTTCTCTGTGGCCACGCTTTGACTTAGTATAAGGTGTTGAGGGACTGGGAAGGAAAGAGTGAAAGAGAACTCAGTCATCCTTGGACAAGGAGTCCCTGGAAGTTGAAGTTCAAGGGAAGGGAAGTGACAGAGAATTCCAAGGGTAGAGCTGAGTACAAACAGAAACCAGTAATTACAGATTAATCGGAAGTGGCAAAGGCTTTTCATTTGATAAAGCTCTCTTTAAATTTCTAGTGGCGCCAGGACCAGAACTAACAACTGAGTAGCTAAAGATCTCCTCATCTTCCCTCTCAGGACACCTGCAGTATTTACGGCACACCCAGGTCAGGGCCAGGTGGTTATAGGAAGGGATTTGTCTTTCCTTCCTTCAACATGATGTGGAGAGAATGGTGAACTCGGGGGCAGGCTAGGGGCTGGCACACCCTTTCTTAGCATTTTTCTTCTTCGCTTCTGGGGTTGGCGAAGGAGAGGGGGAGCGCTTCCTCTTCTTATAGTTTCCCCCCTTCTTGTCCCGTCGATCTGAATCTGGGCTGTTCACCTATAGGATGGAGAATCGGGACAAATGTCAGCCTACAATCCCCAATGAAGATTTGTTCTGAGACTTATGCTAAGGGCACCAGGAAAAAAGAACAGGATTTGTCACCTCATCTGTCAATGTCTTGGCTGAAATCTTCTTTCGGCGGGAGACAGGGTTTTTGTCATCATTTACTTCGTAGTCTTCCTCATTCATCCATTCATTGAAGGTGTCGGTGTCCAGGATCCACTTTGCATGAATCTAAAGTACAAAGGCAGATCATGCTGCAGAGAAGCCTGGAAGCCACAGCTCTGTCTGGGGACCCTTAACAGAAAAAGCCCAAGGGCACACGAGCCTCTGTTTCACTTTCCAAGAGTAGACTGCTCCTGGCATTCTTTTTGGGGAAGAGGGGGTACAAGAAAAGCTCACCTTCCTAGGTTTCTCAGGAGTTGGAGCATCTTCCACAGATGCTTCAATTTCACTCGCTGGGATCCATGTGTCATAACTGCCATGGGAAATTGAGCACACAGTAGAATCAATGGGATAGAATTGTGGAAAAGTGAAGTGCAAATCTTTTATCCTTTCCATTTACAGAAAGTATTGGGTTGGCTTTTTTTTTGGTATTCTATTTATTATAAAGAAGTAAAAGCACATTACGAAACATTTCAAAAATAGAGAACAAAAAGAATTACCCTTACATAACTACTCTTGACACATGTATATATGTTTTTTCACAGTAATTTTTGTTTTGTTTTTTCGATACGGAGTCTTGCTCTTGCTCTGTCGCCCGGGTTGGAGTGCAGTGGCGCAATCTCGGCTCACTGCAACCTCCGCCTCCCGGGTTCAAGCGATTCTCCTGCCTCAGCCTCCTGAGTAGCTGGGATTACAGGTGCCTGCCACCACGCCTGGCTAATTTTTATATTTTTAGTAGAGACGGGGTTTCACCATTTTGGCCAGGGTGGTCTCAAACTCCTGACCTCATGATCCACCCACCTCGGCCTCTCAAAGTGCTGGGATTACAGGCGTGAGACACTGCGTCCAGCCGGGGTTTTTGTTTTTGTTGAGACAGGGTCTCACTTTGCTGCCTAGGCTGGTCTCGAACTTCCAGGCTTTAGTGATCCTCCTGCCTTGGCTTCCCAAAGTGCTAGGATTACAGGAGTGAGCTACTGTGCCTGGTCCACAATTTTGTTTTTACATAATCATAATCATACTAGATGATATTTTACACGCTACTTTTTTTTTTTTTGAGACACGGTCTTGCTGTGTTGGCCAGGTTAAAGTGCAGTGGTGCAATCATGGCACAATGCAGACTCAACCTCCTGGGCTCAAGTAATCCTCCTACCTCAGTCCCCCAAGTAGCTAGGAGTACAGGTGTGTGCCACCATGCCCAGCTAATTTCTGTATTTTTTTTTGTAAAGACAGGGTTTGACCATGTTGCCTAGGCTGGTCTCAAACTCCTGGGCTCAAGTAATCTGCCCGCCTCAGCCTCCCCAAGTGCTGGGATTATAGGCATTAGCCACTGCACCCAGCCTATGTGCTATTTTTTGTTTTGCTTTGTTGAGACAGAGTCTCACTCTGTCGCCCAGGCTGGAGTGCAGCAGTGTGATCTTGGCTCACTGCAACCTGTGCTGCCCGGGTTCAAGCGATTATACTACTTCTCAGCCCCCCCAGTAGCTAAAACTACAGGCGTGCGCCACCATGCCCTGCTAATTTTTTTTTTTGTATTTTTAGACACAGGGTTTCAGCATGTTGGCCAGACTGGTCTCGAACTCCTAACCTCAGGTGATCCGCCTGCCTTGTCCTCCCAAAATGCTGGGACTACAGGCGTGAGCCACCATGCCGGGCCTACATGCTGCTTTTTGCAACTATTAATAATATTCACTTATAAATTGTCCATGTTATTTTATATCACTTTAAAGGCTGCATAATAGCCCACTGAGTAGATATACAAATTTACTGAAACATTTTCCTACTGTTAGACATTTAGATTGTTTCTAACATTTACTTATCAAAAATTATGTGGGGATAATCAATTCATACATAAAGCCTCAATTGTTTTAGCCCAAGGCTTGTTCACTAAGTCCAAACCTCCCCCAAGACTGAGGTTCACTTAATAGGTGAGAGGAGAACAAATTAAGTGATCTAAAAATAACTCTGAACGAGTGGCTTCTTGCTCTGCTAGATGTTCCAGGGCTTCTGGGTCTGGCTCTTATACTTAAACCTGCCCCAGGAACCCATCCTCACCTGTCAGGATAGTAGCCCCAGTGCAGAAGAACCTGCTTATCCCTCTTCATGACTGGTCGTACCCATTCCTCTGGGGATAGAGGAAGAGAAGGGAGAGATATAAGCTAAAGAGGGACACAAAAAAAATACTGTACATAAGCCCTAACTAATGCACTCTCCTGTTGTAGCAGGGGACTTGGTAATAGGAACTTAAGGTTTAAGGAGGATTCAAGATTGAAAGAAGAGGAGCCCAGGTACTAAATGGTGATCTTAGTCCTCTGCCTCCTAGTCCAAACCATCCACTCAAGTGGCCAGGAAAACCCAGGTCTCACCTTCTTCTAGATTCCCGGGGACAGGATACACAACATGGGAGGCATTGTTCTTATCCTCAGTGACTGTTCCCTAGATGGCACAAGGAGAAGCAGGTAAATTACGGTCCCCTCTGAATTACTCAAGGTTTAGCCACAGAGCTGCCTTCCTAATCATATTTTGCTTATAATAGTATTAAAGTTAGTTTGCATTCTCTAAGCACACACCAGCTAAGTGGCAGAGGGAAACAGCTGGGATTGTGCTAATAATGGAGAAAAGTCAAAGAATTAAAAATTGCTACAAATAATCCTCTGAACAGATAATCTACACATGGGAAATTTAAAGTCAACTGTACGTCCTTATCAATGACATCTGTTCATTATTATAAAGTTCTAAAGAGCAGGGATTTCATTTATCTGAAATCAAGCAATCTCTAGCTCAATAGAAGTGGATACTATTTTTCCCCAGGCCAACATAAGTCTCTAGGAACAGTAATGCAAACCTGTCAGGACTGAAAAATGGGAGAAGTAGACAGAAAAAGACAGACTCAAGGCTTTTTTTTTTTTTTTTTTTTTTTTTGAGACAGAGTCTGGCTCTGCCGCCCAGGCTGGAGTGCAGTGGCTGGATCTCAGCTCACTGCAAGCTCCGCCTCCCGGGTTCACGCCATTCTCCTGCCTCAGCCTCCCGAGTAGTTGGGACTACAGGCGCCCGCCACCGCGCCCGGCTAGTTTTTTGTATTTTTTAGCAGAGACGGGGTTTCACCGTGTTAGCCAGGATGGTCTCGATCTCCTGACCTCGTGATCCGCCCGTCTCGGCCTCCCAAAGTGCTGGGATTACAGGCTTGAGCCACCGCGCCCGGCCAGACTCAAGGCTTTAACTCAAGTCTTTTTCCCAGTAGACAGAGCCACCTCTGAAGCAGAAAACATGGTAGTTCAGGGCTGCTGCTTGGTATAGAAAACATCAGGAAAAGAGTCATGGAGTTTCTGAAACCTCTCCTGATCAGACCATTTACCTGGTGTCTCTTGATAATGTCCTTTAATTTCCCTAGTAGTTTGGGCTCAATTTCTGGGCACAGAAAAATGTTAGGTCGAGACAGGCAATTATTCTGTGGAGAAAAGAAATAGAATGAGATCACGGGAAAGGAGTGTTTTAGATTCTCACTGAGGGAAGGGAGATAAATAGGGGATATGCCTATTACCTGCACCAAGGACTTCTCGATGGTCATAAACATTTCCACATTGCGGTCCATGCGTGATGGATTCTGGAAATCGTAACGCCGCCTTGTGAAGAGGCAATAATCTAGTGAGTGGTATAGCTCAGGTCTGCAGATGAGGTGAGGGCATGTGACTTTTGTTTTTTGAGATGGAGTCTTGCTCTGTCACCTAGGCTGGAGTGCAGCGGTGTGATCCTGGCTCACTGCAACCTCTGCCTCTCAGGTTCAAGCAATTCTCCTGTCTCAGCCTCCCCAGTAGCTGGGACTACAGGCACACACCACCTCGCTTGGCTAATTTTTGTATTTTTAGTGGAGACAGGGTTTCACCATATTGGTCAGGCTGGTCTCGAACTCCTGACCTCAGGTGATCCACCTGCCTTGGCCTCTCAAAGTGCTGGGATTACAGGCATGAGCCACCACACCCAGCCTTTTTTTTGTAGTTGTTGTTGTTTTGAGAGGGAGTCTCGCTCTGTTGCCCAGGCTGGAGTGCACTGGCGTGATCTTGGCTAGCTGCAACCTCTGCCTCCCCTTTACAAGCCATTATCCGGCCTCAGCCTCCCAAGTAGCTGAGATTACAGGTGCCCGCCACCATGCCCAGCTCATTTTTGTATTTTAGTAGAGATGGGGTTTCGCCAAGTTGGCCAGGCTCGTCTTGAACTCCTGACCTCAAATGATCCAACCACCTCGGCCTCCTAAAGTGTTGGGATTACAGGCATGAGCCACTGCGCCCAGTCATGACTTCTTAATATGGGAAATTAGGAGGCAAGCTTGCTTACAGCTATTGCCAAAATCACCTGGGATCTGAGGTTCACTGATCTCAACTCCATGAATCACTCTCTGTGCTTACTCCAAAGGGACAAAAAAAGGTTTCAAACGCCAACCTAAGAATCCCTTTTCCTCTACAAAACACACACTGATACTCGAGTACACACTCACTCTTGGCGACTGTTTTGGCTCTGACTCCCAACCATTTTTCTGACCTAACAAGTCAGGTCTACTGACCCAGCAAAATAAAGACTCACAAGAATTTCTACCCCAGAAAGACCCCAGGGAATCAAAAGGAGGGATTTCCTCTAAACTAAATGTAAGAAGAATAGAGAGAATCATCTCACCATCCCTGGTCACTCTTGAATTTGTAGGCAGCTGCAAGAATGTGGCACAAGGAGCCTCCCGCTTTGAAATCTAGGAAACATTTGATCTACAAAATCAAGGTACGGAAGAAGCATGTCAAGGTTCTATTGTAAATTCTATCATCACTTAAAATCCTTTCACAAAATCCCATGCTGAACTGATCTCCCTCTTTTTTTTTCAGATGGAGTTTTGCTCTTGTTGCCCAGGCTGGAGTGCAATGGCACGATCTTGGCTAACTGCAACCTCTGCCTCCCAGGTTCAAGCAATTCTCCTGTCTCAGCCTCCCAAGTAGCTGGGATTACAGGTGCCTACCACCACATCTGGCTAATTTTGTATTTTTAGTAGAGACAGGGGGGGTTTCTCCATGTTGGTCAGGCTGGTCTCCAACTCCAGACCTCAGGTGATCCGCCCACCTCGGCCTCCCAAAGTGCTGGGATTACAGGCGTGAGCCACCGTACCCAGCTCAAAGCTGAAATTCTTTAACCCTTGTGCCATTGCATCATGTGGCCTGCAAGAGGGGAGTGAAAGAAACCAATATACAGAAAGCACCACCTTGTGCTAACACTTTACTGGATTATCTCAGGTGCCATTATAGAAACCCTACAAGGTAGGTTTACTAATCCCATCTAGAGATGAAGGAACCAAGACTCATGAATGCTGCCCAAGATCACACAGCCATCAAGTAGCAAAGCCAGGATTTGAACACAAGCCCACACAAATCCAAATCTCAAGTCCGCTTTTAACCATGCCATGAGAGACTTGTGGACTGATCCCAGGCACTCTGAAATAATTTGTTGCACAAAGTATTACTAAGACAAAAAGAATGGTAAACTGGAGACTAGGCCAAGCCAATAATGCCCTGACCAGGGATAGGGATGGTAGAAAATAACCCAAATTTCAAAAATTACAAAATTCACGAATCTTTTTTTAAAATACAACTCTCCAGTTTGGTGGACTCACCACCACCACCCCCCGCCCTCTCTCCTACTTCTGCACTCACCGGCAGTTTAGTGAGCGGTGCATTGCTGACATGTTTGCCAAAAACTTCTTCCTGAAATTGTAGTAACTGTACAACCAGGCTAGACAGGGACTTGTTGGTGGGTGGTTCAGCTTGTATATACTAACGGAAAAGAGGGAAAGGAAAGAAAAATAGATCTCAGATAAATTGTCCACTATCTTCCACATTTCTCCCCCAGGGGCTCTGGAAGTATCTGGAGCAAAGAAAACAGTGCCTTTCTCCCTATTTAGTCTCTATAAAGAAAATGGCAAAAGGGAGGCTCTGGACATCCCAACCAGGAAGCTGAAATTCTGCTGTCACCAGCCCAGATGGCCAGTGTTGGGGAGAACAGGGAAGCTTACTACTCTTCCTCAGCTACACTCTGAAATTAGAGTTGCAGGACCCTATTATCTTGGCACCTCATCCTCAACCAACAGCACTGAGGGTTGTTAAAATTCTGGAGGTTTATAGAGTTCAGATCATGGAAGCAATACCTTTGGAGCTCTAAGAGAGACATTTCTTAGGAGAACTCTGTGTAAAGCCATGATTCCCCCTATAATGTAGCCTAACAAGAAAAGGTACAAGGAAGTGAAGGAGGGCAAGCTGACTGAGAGTGAGCCTGTGCATTTTGCTCCTGAAGACTGGGTATAAAGGTCTTCATAAGCCCTCCTAGACAGGAAGGGCCTCACCAGCCTGATGGAGAAGAGCAAGAAAACATCTACCCTGTCTGAGGAAACTGTATCCGAGACAAGTAACCCTGGCTCTACCTCAATATTTCCACACTTCGCTACCTAGTAGCATCCTAGCCTTCCATTATAATTTGAACCTGAGCCAGGAGACTTTCTTTTTACCTTTTGACCCGTTTTCTCCCCCCTCATCACAAAGAAGACAGCGCCTCTCAGTGAGAGGTGAAGAGAGATAGATCTGTGAAGGGAAAGGTAAATGACAAAGAGCTAAGAGCACGGAAGCTGAACCAGGTCACAGTTGTCAATCCCCACCAAGGCCGGAGGCTCAGCCCCTAGCTTGATCTCCCTGCAAAAGGTCAAAGCAAGAGCCTCTCACAGGCATAGAAACAAGCCATAGAAATAGCAGCTATTTGTCAAGATTCTGACACCCAGAGAGACCCCAAGGGCAGGGCCAGGCTCATAATCAGGATCAGTAGGAAGTTCTCCTAAGCCACTAAGCACACTTCTGACGAGCTGCAAAGCCGGCAGGAAGAAATGGGGAGCTGAAAGAAAGCCACAAAGAGAACCCCTCTCTGAGGGTAGTGAGAAAAAGAGAGGCAGACTATTTCCAGGGAAAACCAGGCCTAGAGACAAAGACGACACCACGAAGAGGTCTAGTAGAAAAGACAGGTAAGGATTCTTAAACCCTTTGTTCACTACCTTATGATCGCCAGTTATGGGGTTTCGGGGTGAGGGGCTAGAGATAGAACGCTCACCCTAACCTCTTGACCCCAAACCCACGGTACTGCAAAGCTAGGTTGCAGGGTGACTTCACTGCAAAATCGAGGAAAGGTTTTGGAAGGGGTCGCTACCCAGGAACTCCTATACCCCAGCTCCCTGAGAGATTCTGTTGCCTCTTAGATGAAGGTGGGGGATGAGCGGCGGAGACAGGTGATCCCTGGGTGGGGACCTTTTTCAAGCTGATGAGCAGCCAACGACTTGCTCTGTGACTGTTTACCCTCCTGCTTTCCATCCTCTCTCTGAACATACACAAAGCACCGGGGAGGCCTCAGCCCCACCGGTACCCGGCTCCATGGGGAGCTCTGGCGGGCACGTTCCGGGTTGCGGGGGAACCCATTGGGCACCCGGTCCACACCCGGCCGGCCGCCTCTCCCAGAAGAGCCAGGAGGGCGATGGCTGAGGGGAAGGTGGGCTAATGGCACCGGGGCCTGCCGGGCAGTAGAGAAAAACAAGGGGCAGAGGGCGCAGCAGTGGGGGCGGGGGCTAGGCTCGGAGGCTAGGGGTGCGGGGAGAGGGAGGCTGGGGGAGGGGCGCGGGCGCGCGGGAGGGCGCGCGGGGGGCTGCTCCGAAGGCCGCAGGGGAGGGGCTGGGGCGCCTGGAGGGTGGGCAGGATCCCGGAGCTGCAGGGCCGCGGTCCCTTTGTCCCGCCCCCGGTCCCCGCGCGGCCCGGCCCGGCCCGCGTACCTTCTTGTAGTTCTTGCCGAGCCACAGCCGCACGTTGTCGAACTGGGTCACGGTGTCCGCGGCCTCGTAGTACTTCACGTTGGGGCCGCCGTCCTTCTTCCGCACCGCCATCTTCTCGGGCTCGGGCCCCGCCGCCGCCCGCCCCACTCAGCTCAGCTCCCGCCTCCTCCGCCTCCTCCTCCGCCCGCCTCCCGCCGCCTCCCGCCGCCGCGGCCGCCGCCTCCCGCCGCCTGGGCCGGCCCCGGTCCGCGCTGCGCCCCCTGCCGGCAGGCCGGGCGCGGCGGAGGAGCTCCAGGCGCGGGCCGACCCTGGTGGCCTACCCGGCAGCGGCGGCGGGAGCCTCCGGGGAGAAGGACTCTTCCTGGAGGGGGCGCCATTCTCCTGAGATCCCTCTTACCAGACGCGAAGCCCTTCCCTCTTTTTGCCTCAGCCCGTTAGTGTCACCTCGCTATCCCACTCCAGGCGGCCGCCAGTCGCTGGAGCAGCCCCAACCCGTTGCCCCGAGTGGCCCTCACCTTGCGCATTCCTAATCCGACGGAGCCCCTCGTCCCCCAAAACCCCAAAACCCTTTCCCCAAGAAGTTCCTTCCTTCCATCCATTCCCAGCATCTCCCCATTTAAACTTTTCTGAGTCTCCCTCACCCCTCGCGCTTGTCCACCCAGCAACCCCTTCACTTGTTAACCCAAAAGTCCCCTAGCCGCCACCTTGGGGACCCAGTGCCTTCCTCAACTGCTTCCTCCGCTGGCCTCGCTGTCGCCTCCTAAGTAGGTGTGAGCTCCTTGAGACTCCGACTCTTCGCTAGGCAGGAGACCCTCCTTCCCTGGGTCACCCGGTCCATCCGACTCTTTTTCTCTGGGTGGCGTAGATAGGAGGTAAGGAACCAAGGGGTGGGGAGTCCTCAGGTGAGTGCGCGTCGAGGCCGGTACCCTGCTTCCGGTTCCCGCATGTAGTCCCCGATTGCAGTGCGGACCCCTTCTGTAAGCGCGCGGCAAAATGCGGTTTTGGAAGTCACGGTGGCCGAGTGGTTAAGGCGTTGGACTCGAAATCCAATGGGGTTTCCCCGCACAGGTTCGAATCCTGTTCGTGACGGCTTTTTTTTTTTTTCTTTCTTATTATTAAGACGGAGTCTCGCTCTGTTGCTCAGGCTGGAGTGCAGTGGCGCGATTTCGGCTCACCGCAGCCTCCACTTCCCGGGTTCAAGCAATTCTCCTGCCTTAGCCTCCCGAGTAGCTGGGACCACAGGCATGCGCCACCACACTTTTTGCGTTTTTAGTAGAGACGGGTTCACCGTATTGGCTAGGCTGGTCTCAAACTCCCGACTTCAGGTTATCTGCCAGCCTCGGCCTCCCAAAGTGCTGGGATTACAGGCGTGAGCACCGCGCCCGGCCTGACGGCGACTTTTTAAATCCCACTTCACAACACGTAAAGGTAACCCCAGTTCTCACAAGTGTCTTTCGTGCACTTTCTCTCTCCAAAAGGAAGCCGCCAACAGGTCTTACCCCTGTATTTGGGAGAATGGGAGTGATCTTGGGAAGCTTAATTATGTACGACTGTGTTGGCTGCTAGACTGTGAGGCATTTTCAGAATTTTATAACTTCAGGCTTGCTGGGAGAGCTTTGGCACATGTCTCATTCTTTTGAGGGCATAGGGAAGGATTTGGTTGAAGGGTTACATTTTGTCTGGGAATGTGAGTGGCTGTTTTGCAATGTTAGTCAAACCTAGAGTTTCCTCTAAATTTCATGACCAGAAGTCACACCTTGTAGGTCTAATTACACCGAAGACCCAGGAAACAGGGGATTCTCTCATCTGGATTTCCTTGAGGTGTACAGGGCTAGAAGGGAGTAGCCTATTGAAACATCATTGCAGATCCAACTAGAGCCAAGGTGTGGGAAGATTATTCTCAATTTTTATTGAGTGCTTATTATGTGCCAGGTACTGTTTTAAATTATCTATATGTATTAACCAAGCGAGGAAATTAATCTCATCTTTAACCTTTAACCCTCTTATACTCATCTCACCCCATTTTTCCTGTCCCCTAATTTCTGATTGTGGGAGGATCTGGGCTGCTTGTTGAATATTTTGTTGTTTGTTTTGGGGGGTTGTTTTTGAGACAGGGTCCTGCTCTGTTGCCCAGGCTGCAGTGCAGTGGTGCAATCTCAGTTCACTGCAACCTCAAACTCCCAAGCCCAAGCGATCCTCCCGCCTCAGTAGCTGGGACTACAGGCATGCACCACCACGCCCAGATAATTTTTTGTATTTTTAGTAGAGACAGGGTTCTGGGATTTCGCCATGTTGCCCAGACTGGTCTCAAACTCCTGGACTCAAGCAGTCCGCCTGCCTCAGTCTCCCAAAGTGGTGGGATGACAGGTGTGAGCCACGGTGCCTGGCCAAGGATGTTCTTTTTGTACTTCTCACACAGCCTCATGTCCAAAAAGAATCCCAAAGGGCAGGGGGCTCTAGGGTAATACATAGAGCTTTCTACACATTTATACCTTAGAGTTTCCCACCTTCATACCACTGCTCAGGCTGTTCTTTCCAGCATGACCCTCACATTGCCTCCCTGCCCCTCACCATTAACACTTTCCAAAATCCTTTAGGCCCCTCTTCTTTGATGCTCTTGATCACTCCAGCTACCTATCAGTCTACCACCACCACCATTCACTGAATTGCATGCAAGGACTTCTCGCTTGATATGCTAACATAAAAATAAAACAAAAACAGGGCTGGATGTGGTGGCTAACTCCTGTAATCCCAGCACTTTGGGAGGCCTAGGCAGGTGGATCACGAGGTCAGGAGTTCAAGACCAGCCTGGCCAATGTAGTGAAACCCCCTCTCTACTAAAAATACAAAAATTAGCTGGGCGTGGTGCCAGGCACCTGTAATTCCAGCCACTTGGGAGGCTGAGGCAAGAGAATCGCTTGAATCCAGAAGGCAGAGGTTGCAGTGAGCCAAGATCATGCCACTGCACTCCAGCCTCGGTGATGCAGAGAGACTCTGTCTCAAATAAAATAAAATAAAAACACGTTCCATTTATTTTACCTGCTAAATATGTCTCAGATATGCTCACTTTTCTCAGGGGTGAGTGCAGGCTGAGCTAGAGCCTTCATCTGGAAAGTAGTGGTATTTGCGGGCACCATACGAGGTAATACATAGAAAGCTGCACTAAAGCATCCACACTGCAGTCTGGGACCTTAAACCCTTGCATGGCTGCTTTCTATGTTGCAGGATATGACCCCTTTTCTCTCACCACTCTTCCATATTCACTACATTCTGTCCACTGGCATTCTTTTAGTTCCTGGTACTTATTTAGCTTTGCTCATGGTGTTCTCTGCCTGGAATAATCTTTCTCTTCCACACTTTCTACTCATTCTCCACCTAAATGTTGGTTCTCCTGTGGAGTTTTCTCTGACCACTTGTTGCCTACCACATCCTATGCCCTCATCTTATTATGTGAAGTCTTTCTTCCCCTGTGGCATATAAACACATTAAACACAGATAAGCCAGTCAGTTTAAAAAATGGGTGTTTTTTACAGTAGTTATGTGTACATGTTTTAATCTTCAGACTGGTATATAAGCTTCTTGAGAGTTAGGACTGTGTATTTTATTTATTTGCATCTTCTCTACAAGGCCTTATAGATGTGATCAACTATGTATTGAATTAATTTATAAAATCTCATATGCTCACAATTCTCCTTCCTACCAAATCCCAGTTTGCAGAGGCTCTCATATTTAAATATCTGGAGAGCCAAGACCAGAATTGACCAGCAGAGGGCAACCAACAACTATGTTGTGAAGGGAAGAAGGATCCATGGTTTACAAAATGGAGGATCTGGACCAAGAAGGGAAATATGGCAGAGGTAATTTGCTACTTGAAGATTATCCCTTTTATTGTCAAATTCTTCTCTTGTAACTTTTGTGGGTGAGAGGCCAAGGATTCAAACCTTCATATACAATAGACCATTTTAAATTTCTACCATCCCCATGTACCCACCCCATCTCCCCAATTCCTTCACCCTTCCTCTTCCACTCCAACAAATCCTATGTATTCTTTTACCTTTCTTTACCTTGCATGATCTGGCCCCCTCTCTCTCACCATTCGTACGTATTTACATATCACCCACTGGCATTCTTTAGTTCCTGCTACAGTATGTGGCCTTGCATATTTTCCCTGAAGTAACCTTCTCCACTTAGGCCTGTAGTCCCACTCATTTAAACCTTGTAAGGAACCTTCCATAACTATCCTTCCATAACACCTTCAAATTCCTCTACTCTGGATCAATCCTTCATGAATTCAGAACAAACAAAACCCCACTTGCATTTGACACTTTCAAATTTCCACATTGTTTTCTACTTCCTTTCATTTTTCGAATAAAATGTATACCTTTCTGTCTCCAGTTCCATACTATCAGATACCCTGTCATCTGGTTTCTGCCTCCTGAAGTGTTTTGGTTGTTTTTTGTTTGTTTGATTTGAGACAGAGTCTTGCTCTCTCGCCCAGGCTAGAGTGCAGTGGCACAAGCTTGGCTCACTGCAACCACCACCTCCCAGGTTCAAGCAATTCTCCTGCCTCAGCCTCCCGAGTAGCTGGTATTACAGGTCCCTGTCACCATGCACCTGGCTAATTTTTTTTTTTTTTGTATTTTTAGTAGGGACGGGGTTTCATCATGTTGACTAGGCTGGTTTTGAACTCCTGACCTCAAGTGATCCACCTGCCTCAGCCTCCCAAAGTGCTGGGATTACAGGCGTGAGCCACCGCGCCTGGCCTCCTAAAGTTTTTTAGACATTAATAGAAACCACTGGACAAATTTAATAATCTCTTCTCAATCTCCATCCTTTCTGTGTTTGAAACAACTTGATTTCTTACTGGCCTTCAGAAACACTTATTTTCTCCTTCTCAGTATACTGCTTCTCCACCTCATTTGCTTTCTTCTTCCTCCTGTGGAATTCCACCAAAGCTTCATTTTTCTCCCAAGACAAAATCTCAGAGCCACCTTTCCAGGTATGTCCTCAGCTAAGCCATGGTCCTTTATCTCCAGCTATCTACATCTCTACACAGCTGACCTAGTGTCACCTAATATGCAAACAAAGCTTCTCTTCCTCTCCCATAATCATTGTTCTGAACTTTTCCCATTTTTGTTGATACCACTATTCACTCAATTCCTTCATTTCCAGCTCTAAGAATTAATTATCTGAAATTTTGTTTTCTCCCAAGCCCATCATTGAT